GGAAAGAGAGCTTAAAATTACCTGTTTTCATTGAAACAGTAAGCCACTTGGTATTTTCACCTTGGCCGGGATTTCCATACATTTGGGGGACAGTTCAATTGCTTTTCCATCAAAGAGGGTTAAAACAATAAAAGAGGATAAAACAAAATGAACAACCTACACTGGCTTTCCAACTGAAAACAGTGTGTCCTGAAAATATTATGAACAATGGAAGCTTTCCCTGGCAGCTGAACCATCAATGATTTTCCCTTGGTGCTTTTCGGGCTGGGAAAATAATTCCTATGCAGTTCTTGCAATAATCAGCGTAGGAGCCAGTGGTAAAGGTGAAAGAGTCAGTTTGCTTGCAGGTTCGCTATAGTTGCTGCTGGTTTTCCCCTAATGAGAAGATAGCCTCCTTCTGTGTCCCCACCACATCAGGAGCAGTGGTAAGAAAAGTCTGCAAAAAGCACTGAAAGCACTTTTTTGCAGGAAAACACACAAGATCAACCATTATGTGTCAGCCTCAGCTACTGCTCTCCGATTTATTATGAGCAAGGTGGTTTTGATATTCACAGTCAGCTCTAGATATGTGTCTAAAGGACAATAGCATGCCTTGTGGAGGAGGAATTATCTTCCTACTTTGGATTCTGTGACAGGCCTTGCCTGTGACTTGCCACAGGGAGAGCAAGATTATTCATTAAATGCTGAAGTGCTGGCCTGTTTTCCCAGCCTGTGAAAAAGCCTGTTGAATAGCAAACCAGCTCAATTTTAATCTAGACCGATGCAGTTTTCTTAAGGATGTTCTGTAGATTCTTACTGCTGCTGGCCAACAACCACCTCTCTCTTAAAACCAGCATCGCTCCCATCAGGTTGGCATGCTCTCCGGTGCTTCTGCAAGAAAAGCAAGAAAGTAAAAAAAGAGAAGAGGCATCGCTGTGTGGACTCTGCTGAAATTCGGTGATTGCCGAAGGATCTCAGTCCACATAAGAACACAAGTTCTCCAGGGCCAGTCATCTGTTCTATTTTGCTGGAAGCTTTTAATTAGTGGTCAGAAATGTGAAATGGTCATTGCATGTCCCTGTACAACTCCTTAGTGTTAATTGCATTGTACAGAGGATAGCAGGCAGAAGGATGGAGGCCCATTGCTTCCGTGTGAATCGCAGATGCATAGCTGAGGGTAGAACTTAGCCCTGACACTCTATTAGGCTGAAAGATTATCAGGTATGCAGCATACATTCCTGAAAATGTCATGTCACTATATGCTCTTGTCCCAGTAATATGTGGAAAAAAGACCCTAGGGTGAGCATCTTCTCTTCAGGGATGCCAGCATCCTGACTAGAAGCAATGAAATGTCATCAGCATGAAAAGAGAGGTGGGTAAATGTTGTGCTGCTTGACCAGTAACTGCATTAAGTCACCATATTGCACCAAAACAGAATCACTATCACACCAGGACTGTGTTCTCACAGTTCTAAAATCTGTAAGATATGCACCGTGCAGCTTTTTGGATGTTCCCCAAAGTTGTGTATAGCCTAGAGGCATAGTAAGTAAATTTCTGTGTTACTGCTTTTCTGAGAGCTTTTGCTAGTATCCAAGGGCTTTTGTAAGTCCTCCTGAAGATAGTTGCCTATAGGCAGGATCATATAGTGTAAAAGTAGTTGTGACTAGCATGCAACATAATTTCATGGTCATGTTTAGTAATTTCTACACCCAGAAAACAACTGTAACATGGTCTTTGTGTCATGGTTGGAGACCCACAAGATTTTTCCAGAATTGTTTGTTGTATGTACAATTACACAAAGTCCTCAATCCCTGTTATACAAGAGTGTCGCATCCTTCACAAGCGCATAGTTTCTTTTTGCTGGTGTCCACCATGAACAGAGAAACGAAGACTTTATCTCTCAGAATGTGGGATATCTCACTACATTTGAATTATGCTGATTATCCTGAGTTTATGCTGACGAAATCTTTAAATTTCACTGTCTTTTCTGTGTGTGGTACATAACTGTGTAAGGTTAGAAGAGTTTTAGAGAATTTAAAAAATAGCTAGACAAAGAGAAGAGGTCTAATTTTTGTGTTTGTCTTTCTAAAAGATAATCTCAGTTATATGGTTCCTATGATAAAAACAGTCAGGAGTGATCTGAAATGGTTTTTGTATAGGCCCCTATACCATGATTTTAAACAATAGTTTCTCAAGACATTCCAGAGCTGGACACAAAAGGGGACGCTCTCTCCCAAGGACATAAAGCTCCCAGGATACCAGGGATGCAAGAGATCCATGTTTAAACTCAGCAGAGAATCTGGTCCACCCTGAACTCCTGGCAAGTGCCAGTTTGGAGTGTCATAAAGAGGCCATGGCAAGGCCCCAAATCCAGACTATTTGACAGTCCCTAGTGACGCCGTAAAAGCACTTTTTTATATGACGTAGTTAACCCTGGTTCTGAAAGACAAAAGATTCTTGATCATAAGGGTTATTTGAAAAATGTGTTTCAGATTTGGGCATAATGTCGTCAGAATCAGTTATTGTACATTTGTGTTTCCAAAATTCTGTTTCACACTTGGATTCTGCCTCTAAATATAAATCTCTTCCTCCTTCCTTGTCCTGTTCTATATATATAACACACCCACATGTGATAAAGCCTTCTGCCATAGCAGTAAGGCAGTGGGGGGCGGGGAGGCTGTAGCTAACCTGTGGGAGCACTGAATGCACTTGGCTGCTGTTCATAATGTTCCAAAGATGTAATTATCACATGCATGATGAGTACTACACCTGCCACATCTCTTTTGCTTAAATAAATAAAAGATTTCTTAAATGCCACACAGCTTCCTTACTGGGAAACCGTTAGCCAGAGAGGTCACCAGAGGACTTCACGCTCCCTGTCCCTTCCACCAGGCAGGTTCCCCATGACATCTTTCTTGTTCTCTTCCCTCCCCCCCACAACCTTTTCCTATGAAAGTCTTCGCCACCTCCTTTTCAGTGCCAAGCTTTCTCCTTCGTTGTGATTTTTTCTTCTTTTTCTTTCCCCTGTCTTTGAGCCTTCTTTCCTGTTGCCCGTAAATCTGATCCATTACAGTTTGTAGGTAGTGCTTATCAAGCAAGAATTCTCAGTGAGAAGTTGGGATAGCTTTAACATTAAGGACGGTTGGACTTGATGACCTTAGAGGTCTTTTCCAACCTTAATGATTCTATGATTCTATGATTCTATGATATGCTTTGTAGGTGTTTCACTCATCATCCTTATTAGAGCTCACTTTGTCTCTGCAGCATAATTTAGCATTCTGTTCAGCCAGTGCATTTTTTTTTTTTTCTTTATCAAAAGAGTTCTTGTGTGTGTCTGTAACCACACTGCTGCCTAGTATGTGGCCTAGACAAGCTGCCTTTTAGGAATGATGTATTCAGTGCAAAGGCTTTTTTTTTTTTTTGGCTTGGACCATCTGCTGGTGAAATGTTCCTATCACTAAAATCTCTTCCACATAAGGAAACTGACCCATCACTGATTACTTGTCAGTGACTGATGTCCTCAAACAGCGACAAGACCATTTTCAAGACTGCTACAGAAAGTAGTGTTAGATGTTTTGAGAATTATTTTGTCCCATGTCTACTAACAGTGAATCCGTTTTTAAGCCAGTACAGTAAGACCTTTGCTGACTTGTCAACAATGAATCACTTTCCTATCATAGAGGGAACCTTAAGAAATGCTTCAACCCAGCAGAAATGTCTTGTTCATAGTCACTCCCCAGATTCTCATTTCTTCTGTTATTGGTAGTGGATTTTGCAGCTTCCTAAATCACCTCTGACTCATGTCATTGCATCCACATACCTTTATTTCTCTTTGTGCACCATTATGTACGTACCAAAAGACAGCCAAAGAGTTCAAAGGCCTTATAGGACATGTGTCAAGCAGAACAAGATAGCAGTTAGAGAATTGGGGTCTATCTCTAGCTTTGCCTGTGACTTCTCATAAAAGGCTAATGAAGTTATTTAGGTGAATAAATCCAAGTGCATGGAATTAGATATTTAAACACATATGTAGGGGGAACATGGCCAAATTTTCAGGAATGCTTAATTCCCAAAATTTCATTGATAGCAACAGAATCTGTTATTGTTCAGACCCTTTTGAATTCAAACCAGTTTACATAGATGACAAAGACAAATAAGTATTAGTATCTAAGTTTGAAAATATCCACCATGCACTGTTTTTCCTTCAATTGCTGGAAAAAACCGAAGCATTATTTTCCCTGTGGTATTATAATAAGCTTATATATCCTGAAGTGACAGGTGATGTGTGAAAGCAACAAGTCTGTCTGTATAAAGTCATACATATTTTAACATAAGTAAAATCCTAGTGACTACAAGAAAAAAGAGTCATACTTGAAAAATAAATTTGGTAGCAGATGCAGAGTGCCCCTAGCATTAGGCTAGCCTTTTACCCAAGAGAAAAGCTAGTTCACTGATGTCTGTAGGTGGTAGAACCCCATCATGGCATGACTTCTGCTTCATGACTCCCACCAAAAAACAAGATTTGTGTATCAGGGAATTCTAGCCATGCCCAGTGCCTACATTGACTTACAGGGGATTCAAGAGGAAAACAGCATCCATTAAAAAGTTAATTGAGCTTAACTTTATTTCTTTCTATTGCTATTTTCATAAAAGCCTGGGAGGTACGGGACAGCTTCAGAGACTTTAACGGCAATTCTTATCTTTCAGGCATCGGATCTCAAAATCAAAGTTTAGGTAAGTAAAACTGACTTTTGCTTTTCCTCCTTTCCACTGGTATTGTTTCTTACTTTGCAAAGTAGTTTACTCCTGCATCTGTAGGACACAGTGATGATTCTAGGAGATACTGCCAAACTTGTCAGATTTTAGTCAGTCATCTACCAAAAATCAAGATCCTTTTTCTTAGTTTCATACTGAAATAAGGCACAGGGACTACTGACAGTATTTCACTCAGAAGTACCTATCTGATTGCTTTCTACACATCTTGAGCCATAAAATGTAAAAGTAGAAGAAAAAAATGTTCAACCACATAATTATACTACATCCGTCCACATCAACCCTGTCAGCTCAAGGTTCTCTTTCCTACACTTTGTTGCACTACTCTGCTTTGCTTGATTGTAAACCTTTCAACTGATGAGGTTTGCATCTTATTTGTGAAATGTTCCCTTTCGCCGTGGGACATGTGGAGTTTTTCTGGTGGTATTTGTTTTTATGTTGACTTAAAGGTTTTGAAAATGTGAAGCAGTCCCCAGGTGGTCATCTGTGGGTTTCCATTGGAAAGGCTGACTGAACTCATGGAACTTGGTTGTTGAGGTCCCAGTCCATTTCTACCTCTTCAGTAGGAGCCAAGCTGCCGCCATAACTCTGAATTCAAAGTCAATTTTATAAAAACTAAATTAATTTTCAGAATAACTGGAATAAGCGAGCAACTCTGTCCTTCAGCTTACCTAAATAATGAACAGTAACGTAAATTCAGGAATGCACATATGCATGCATACTGCCTATATGCATCTCTCAGCAAAGAGTTGCATACATGATCACATTCCTACAATCTGTGGATTTATTTGTATGTGGGTGTAAGCATAAAAACCCACTTGTATCATCACATGGTCATGTGCATGCACATTTGTGCACAAGTACACACAAAAGTGTATGGGATTGCTAACAATTTAATGACAACATGAATTTCCAAGTGTTGTGCCCCTTTTGAAAGTTGGAAAGATCATTTCTTGCCCCAAATCCACTGCAAAACACACACCCTTATTAAATGTTTGTGGTAGCTAGACTGGGTGCCTCTATAAATTGCATAGCTAAAACAGCCTTGATTTGATTACCTGTTAAAATGTTGTTGCAAAATTCTTGGCCAGTGTGCAACATTCACATTGCCTGGCTTTAGTTCATATAGATGCTGAACCCTGACCTCAAGCATGGCTATAGTTTATCACTGGAAATAATACGTAAGGGAACACTAGCCAAGAAAAGTTCTCTCTTCCTGTAACGTTGTGTATGTGTGTGTCTCTTTAGAGACACACACACGCATGCACACACACACATATATGTATATAATATCTATATAAAACTATTAGATTTATTATACAGTGGCAAGTGTTGCCTGGAAACTGGTTGCTATGCAAGTTAAATTCTGAAGAGTAGGAGGTGTGTAATTAGCTTTAAATATCTTCTGTGGTTAGTAATTACCCTCAGAAATCAGTGACACAAGGGGATGTGTTCATGGAAGGCAAACTTTAAAAGGTCTGTTGATTAGCAAATGGTATCCTTAGTTCCAGGCATGAAGGTGAGATGCTGAGGTCCCCTAAGTTTTGTTTTTCTGTTCAGAGTTAGCCGTCGTATTGGGCTTACTCCTGAACATTGCTGAATGTCAGAAATGTTCCATGGATTTTATTTGACCTCATCTTTCCAAGGATTTAATCCAAAGGTCCACGGTATATAGTGGGTATCTTTTCGTTGACTATCCTGAGGCTGGACAAGGTCCCATTGCAGGCCACAAGCATTAAATACAAGAAGAATAATTATTTTTGTGGGAACTGGGCTAAAAAACCTCTCAGGGTAGCTGTGATGGATATCTTAATCAGATTAAGACATTGCTTGAAGAGCTTTATTCACACCTAAATGTTGCAAATTGGCTTAGGACTAACTTTATTCCTATAGCTAAAGGAAGGATGATCACAACTGTCGACTCAGATGAGAATGAGAGAACATCTCTCAGGGTGAAATTTAAAGTTATTCTCAACCACTCTTGAACAATAAATCAAGACTAGAGTCTCTCTTGACAGAGATTTGCAATAGCCTAAGGATCCCTATCTGAAAAGAACTTTTCCTTTTCCAATTTTTCAAGTCGCTACTGGCGCCGATGGAATCGATTCTGCAGAAGAAAGTGCCGCGCCGCTGTCAAGTCTAATGTTTTCTACTGGTTGGTGATTTTCCTTGTGTTTCTCAACACCCTCACCATTGCCTCTGAACACTACAACCAGCCAGACTGGCTCACGGAGGTCCAAGGTGAGGAGAGGCTGATGGTTCTGTTTATTGTGGTCAGTGTCAAAAAAGGGGGCTGAGGGAGGACCTGATGCATTAGACCACGCAATATAAAAGGAGCATACACAACTCCAAATAGTCCTCTGTCTGTGGAGGTTCTTAAATAATAAAACAAAATATCTGCGTACAATGGGAGAAGTTTCAGGGAAAATGCAAGTTCCCTGTTTCCAGCCAAAGCAGTGTTTCACTGGGTGTTGGTGAAATCAGGAGCTTATTCTAAATACATATTTTCAGCAACTGGATTTCCAATTTATGAATAGCTACTGGGAGCCACAGGTTCTCCGAGGTTTTCCCTGAAATGGCATTTATGATAAATTCTAGTTAACAGGGAGGCGAGGAAGGAAGAGTGATTTGTAAAGTTGTTCTGTCTGCAGAACCGTTGAATCCTCACTGGCGGTGAGAGCAGCTGAAAGGCTTAATTAAGCAACAGTAGGTAGCACAGCAGCTCTTCTATTCCCACTCTCATCTGCACATGACAAGTGTGATGGGAGATTGTGCACAGGAAGGCATGTCCCTGCCATGGAGGTTGTGTGGTTGTGTCATACATCACAGCTGTATGTGAAATACATAAGAATCGCTGTAACTGGCTTGGCTTAAACCATGACAGCATCTTCATAAAACATTTCTGTGAATGAGATGCCCATGCTTTTGAAGTCCATTCTTTGACCCAAGCTTATATCAAGTTAACCTTTCAGACTGATCCCAGAAGGGGTTTCTTATAGGCAAGGGCCGATGGTTAGCTCTGATGATCTTTTGACTAAGTTTCACTAATCTGTTTCTGTTTGTTTTTCATGAGACACTGCGAATAAGGTGCTGCTAGCTCTTTTCACGGCAGAGATGCTGCTGAAGATGTACAGCCTTGGTCTCCAGGCCTATTTTGTGTCCCTCTTCAACCGCTTTGACTGTTTCATTGTGTGTGGAGGAATCCTGGAAACAATTTTGGTTGAGACAAAGATCATGTCACCACTGGGCATTTCGGTGTTGAGATGCGTTCGACTCCTAAGAATATTTAAAATCACAAGGTACTTTTGTGCTTCTTTGGGAATGAAGGAGGGCTACTGCTCAATGCACAACATATATAGGTACAAGTCACTCACATTCCTGTTTTTTCACTTTTTCTACCACTAATTGGGGAGTGAGAGTGCTAGCTTGACAGTCCTCATTTTCTGAAGTCTGTGGCAGGATGGGGAGGGCTGTACAGACTGGATATCCCTGATGTGAGTGATAAGGATTGGTGAGGAGTCTGACATAGGGGGCTGGAGACACTTGATGCCATGCAGATTGTTAAACTGAAATCTGGAAGGATAATATGAGCTGAGCTTGGGCTCTTAGGGTTCCCTGCAAAAGGGAAAGTGAAAACAAAACAGCAGATAGCCTTGTGACCTTTTCTGTTGCTTTATGGTGACAGGGCAGAGCCTGAAAGACTACTTTGAGCCAAAACAACATTTGACTGAGGAGCCCATGCCAGCTCCAGTAGACTCAGCAGTGGCCTGAGTGGGAGATAGTGTCAACAGCAGCAGCTATAGGCAAAGGATGTTGGCAGCCCATCCCCTTCAGAGGAGTCCAGCATGAAGCAGCAGCTTTACAAAGAAACCAGACTTTTCCAGAGTCCAGTCTCTCCTCTTTTTCCTTTTCCTTCTTTCTCCTCTCCCTCTGCATAAAGGCATAGTGGTGTCTATTAAACAGTTGCTGCTTCCTGCAGTCAGGTACCTCCAAAACACTGGCTTGGTTTGGCAGGAGTTTTTCAGCTTGAGGGGAGGTTGTAAGAGAGATCAGATCCCAACTTACCCAGATGGGAGCTCTTGGAACAAATCTATCCAAGTGCTCACCCGAAGCAGCACAGAGCCTGCCTTTTCCCATGTGGGCACCAGTCAGCACCTTATAAAAAGCTTGACTGAGGTGGTGAAAGAGTGCGTTTTCTGCAAGCTCAGCTATGAAAATGTCCCTAGAATTGCAATAAACTCCCCCGAAGGAAATTTCTGACAAATTTGAGATAAAAAACTCAGCGCATGAGAAAAACAAGGCCAAAACTGGAAGACAGTCAAGATGGCAGAGCTGTGAGGCAGAAAAAACAACAGGCTTGGACTTGTGCATTGAACAAGATTTACCCTTAAAGCTTCTGAGCCTCAACTCTCTGGCAGGGTGGATGGTTTTCAAGGTCAGATGGCAGAGACAGAAAATCAGTTTACAGTCTCAGAAAGAGAGGCCAAAGCAAGCCTACAACTATTAAAAAAGAAAAAAAGGTGGTCTGTTTAGACGTGTGATCATAGAAGAGGGAGAAATGTTCCAGCTAACAAGAGTTTCCAGCAAGAAAGGCATCTTTGCCCTTTCAGAAATAGTGGGAATCTCTGGTCTGGTGACTGTTTTTCCTGGATCTTTGGGTCCGAAAGCTATCATCACTGAGTTGCAGGCTTGGTTTCTGAGGAAACCAGTAGCTGTTTCAGGCATTGGGTAATCAGATACACCCAGGGCAACATACCAATAGCTATAAAAACATAAGATTCAACATAGCATCCTGGAGAGGTCATTGTTTTTTCAAGACATTTCTCCACTCCTACACAAAATATATAATCTAGCTAAGAGAATTCTCTAATAGAAAGGCAAATGCTGAGAGAATATCATTAATACTTTAGGAAGCTTGAGCTATTGGAGTACTCAAATATTCCTAAAGCTTCTGGCAGAGATGTAATGTTAGAACCAACCAGCAGTAGGACTAGTTATATTTACCTTCATTCTGCAGCAGAACTAAAATACAATTTTGCATGGAAGCAAATGTTACCTGGAATATGTCTCTTGCAATTTGTACAGGGGTCTACGTGTAACACAGAGCTAAGGAATAACTCATAATGAATAATGTATTAATCAGATTTTGCCTTCTTTCCTGTTCCTAAAATATTGGCAAGTAGGTTGCAGGAGTCTCAGATTTATCTGTGTTTTTTAATTATTCATAATTTTCTTCATGATTTTTCCCTCCGTGGGTGAAGTTCACCCTCATGTGGAAGGCCCTAGCACAAGCCTCCAAAGCGGTATTTTAGGCCCACTCATGTCTTACTGCAGGAGAGAATATTCTGGCATTAAAGCAAAACTTTTGCCTCTGATGTTCTCCAGTAAAATACAAATTTTTCCATTATTCACTCAGCTCTAAATACAATGATGATTTATTGACAATGTTATCAATACTGGTGGAATACACCGCGTGAGTGCAATGATAATACAGGAAGATACAATCCTAGAAAGCTGGGAAGGGTAGGAAGGATGAGAGTGTAATGTTTTATGTCAGATATATATTCATGAGCAGTGACATGGGAACACACAGTGGAGATGGAAATAGTGATAATCAAGGCCATTAAAAAGGTATAAAGCAGGAAAATTACTCTGATGAGAGTATATCAGTAGGTAGCCTAATCTTTATGTATTTGTATGGATCTTCCATGGTAAACACCAAGCACAAACAAATTCTGGGTGCGTCAAGATAATACACTTCTAGGAAAAAGACATACAGCTCCCTGATATAATAGAAACAAATAACGACACCATCAGATGAACAATGCATCATTTTAGAAACCACATTTAGAATTTCAAAAGCAAACATTTCTTCCAAAATTATAAATACTCTTCAGAATCGTTTAGTCTTGTACATTAGACAAGCAGACAATATAATCAGTTTGGTTTATTCTCCCTAATTTTTACAAGGCTGTGCAGAAAATCTCCCTTTGCTATGAGAAGACAAATTATTTTCTCTTTATAAATAGTCCTTTACTGCTTTTTAAATCCCTGTATTTAGGATTTAAATATAAAATAAAAAAAAAACCCATTTATTTACAACAACATACTGAAATTTTATATTTTATACCTAATCCTGTCGCTAGATATGTCACTGTTAACTGTAGGGAGGAGAGAGAGGGCACCTTTTTTTTGTACCTGCTTTCAAAGTGGTTTTATATTGGATGAACAATTGTGGGAAGCTTTCCTACAATGAGACTCCCAGCTGTTGCTACTGTTTTAAGCTCTGTATCATAAAGACATAGTGGAAGGCAATGGAGAGGAGAGGGAAGAGAATAAAAGAACACATTAAATTCTAATCCAGTTCTGCAATTGATTTTTGTGTGAGATGTTCAACAAACCATTTAACTTCTCTGCATCATTCCTCCATTTTGAAACAGGGATCACAATCACATCTTACTCACCGGGGTTTTGCAATGCCTCATTCACCGGCATCCTCAAGGGTCTGAGATCTGCAAGTGGGAGATGTTAAGAAGCATATTCATTTCCCTATAAGTCTGAGGAAGCAGCAGTGCTTTCTCTCATACCTCCCATTATATGCTGCCTGGTCCAAAACTTCTGATTCCATCCAGCAGTGCCATGAGATTTATTGTAACTTATTGTAATTTTTCCTTTGTAGTATATTAACCAAAGAGGACAAAGTAGTGAGAGACTTTCTTTGTCCGGGCTACATCCATTCCTGACCTAAAAGCCTTGTGTTTCATTGACTAACCCCAGATCTCACTTTGAGGGGGTGTTCATGTTTCTGCAACCACCTAATGTGACAGATGGTAACCTCAGTTCAGGCTTTTAGGACACTAAGATAAGACAATTGTGTTTTTCACACATCCCAATCAAGTCAAGCCTTCCTTATCCTCTCCTTTTTCCTTTTTCTCTTTTTTTTTTTTCCTGATTGGTTTGTTTACTTTTCTAATGGTGCTGTATTCCTAGCACTCAGTGCACGGGGATAAAACTGCACTAATCTTATCACCAGGTCATCTCAGTTAATTGCTTTAAGTTTGATAGTTACATAAGAAACCGAATCTCAGGTATTGAGCCATTTGTAAGCAATGCAGAGCTGATAAAAGTCTGTGCAGTTGTGCTCTCAGATAGCAAGGCATTTAAGCTTAAAGTGAGTCACTGAGACTATTCAGATGGGTAACAGCTCTACTGTGTGCCTCTTAAGGGCACTGCTAGAAAGACCTAGAAAATGTGTGTCCTGGCTGACATTGGAGGGCTTGGAGAGATATTCTGGACCCCATCAGTTTCTGGTTTAAGGATGCTAAAGTCAGTCGAGTTTCATCAGAAAAGAATTTTTCCCTTTTCCTGTGTCACTTTCTCTTCCTCCCGAAGTGTGAAAGTATGTGAGCTGTAAGCATAAACACAAATACAGCAAGCTGTTACTTTGCACATTCAGCACGGACATTTGGTGGCACCGAGCCCACAGCTTCCATGCCCTTACCTTTGCTCTGTAGTTTTTCATTGCTCATCTCTTTAATTGCAGTTAAACTTTAAAGCATTCTAGTTTTCTCTGAAGTGCTGAAGCTGGGCTGGAGGGAAAACATCGCATTCTCTTTGAAGCTCAGCCCTTGGTGATGAACCAGTTGCTGAACTTCAGAGGACATGGTGGTGTCCCTCTGCAGATCAGATTGCTAACCTTCATAAAGTGATTGGGCTGCTCAAACATTCCTGTCTGCCATGGGACAAGGAAAGCCATCTTTTTAGACGAACATTTAAAAAATATTAATTTAACTGGGATTTTAACAACTCTAGTCTCTAATGACTACACTACCTTTGGAACAGATTCGTATGTTGAAGGATCAGGCTTCCTCAAACGAGCGAGAGCACTAGACATGTCTGCCCTCCTTCTCAAGTGGAGTTTTTGCCTCCGAAGAAAATATGGGTAGAAATTCAGAGTCCTCTAAGGAAAGAAAGGTTCAATGTTATGGGCTTTGGGAGAAGGGAGTGGAGGATGTTGGCCATGGAGGAATCTTAAAGCATGGTGGTAGACCACAAGAGATGGTGCTAGAAGGAAGACTTAGAGATCACAGGCAACCATTACTGGCTTGCTGCCCTGTGAAAGCTGTTGAACCTTGCTAGTAATGTGCATTCAAAATGAGGTGATTGAAAGAGGACAGCTAATCTTCAGCCCAGTCTGAAAGCTCGGTCAGACTCAAAACTGCATAGAAGAGAAGTGGCCATGACCAGCTAAGCAGTAGACTAGGAGTGGTTGAGCAGATGCAAGATCAAAGTGGAAGTTGCTTCATAGGTTATGTGGTAGATTCTTTAGAATTTTTTTCTAAAGCCTTTTTCCAACACATGGCTACTCTGCAGGCTGGCAAAGAATGCAAGCAAACTGACATGCTGCAGCAGAGCATGCTGCTGGCATCTCTTTGAACCCTAAAGTGGTACCACAAGGGCAAGAAGATCCTTTCTCTGCATCATACATCAGTCTGATCCGGGCACAAGCCTAAATACACTGACAGAACAAGTCTTAGCCTCTTTCTCTCATGAATGAAGCCCTCCCAAAATGTTCTGCGGCCTGTTTGAGGAAGCATGGCAGGTTTGATACCCAAAAAAGCAGTGATGGTGAGCTCTTCCAACAGCAAAGGAAAGTCTGGACTTTATAGGTGTAGATCTGGAGTCTTTTTTAGGGTCCATGTAAAAGGACCTTTAATATCTTTCCCATTCATCTCAATCCCAGAAAGCTTAGCAACCTCTTTCTGTGAGTGAGCCCAAGCACATACTCACATACGCCAGATTTTGGACAAGTTTGTATTTGCAGCCAAACTGTTTCCCCATCTGCACTTGTTAGTTATTACAGGCCATTCTCCGGAGTGAGGTATTCTGGCTGCCATAACATCTGTGACTGTTGTAATGAGGTTGGTTAGAATGTAACTCACTGAAGCAGCAAGAACTAATCACCGTATATTGATATAAGATTTGCAGAGCTTTAGATGGAGAGTGCTGCAATAATCTTCTGGGTGTGCATATGGGGTGGGGGGTGAAGGGAGTTGTGTATGTACACGTGTGGTAGTAAAATTACTCATTAGCTGCAGTAGGTCTCATTATCTTAGGGAAGCACATCAATGATTCACTGCTTAACAGGGTGTTTGGAAATGCCTGCTTATACACAGAAGGCAGCCTGAACCAATATCTTGTGCAGTCCATGAGCACCTGTCTTGGATTGAAGGAATTTTAACTGCCTCTATTTTCTCTCCCAGATACTGGAACTCCCTGAGTAACCTTGTGGCTTCACTCCTGAATTCAGTCCGCTCCATTGCCTCCCTGTTGCTGCTTCTCTTCCTCTTCATTATCATATTCTCACTCCTGGGGATGCAGCTCTTTGGGGGCAAGTTTAACTTTGATGAGATGCAGACCAGGAGGAGTACATTCGACAACTTCCCCCAGTCCCTCCTCACTGTGTTTCAGGTAAGGGCAAGAGCGGTCCCAATGGGGCCAACACATTGTGTTTACATGGGGCAAAACAGAGAGCAGGTCCTGCACCCTTCCCCTGCAGCCTGACAGTCCCCAAGACTGGACATCAGGCTAACAGCTCCAGGAGCAAGGTGCCACGCTGTGCTGCCAGCACAGGGGTATTCCCTCCCAAAATGGGGAACCAAAGCTAAAGCCCCTGTGTGTAGAAAAGCCACCGGGTCGTAGCAGGGTAGGACAAGAGAATGGCCATTGCCATGTCCCAGGGCAGCACCTGCATGCCAAAGCCCAACCCTGCAGCTGTCCTCCCCCCCTCCCACAGTACTGGGGAACAAATATCTGCTCACAGCACCAGAGAAGTAATCAAAAGGCCTTTAAGCTGACTGCAATTTTGGGAATGATCAACCAAGAGCATTAGGGTCATGATTTCACGTGCAAGGTGAAGGGAAGTGGCAGGGAGGGCTGTGCTAAGGGCTGTCTTCAGTGCTATAGGTTGTGTAGCCTGTCTGAAACAACAGACACGTGGGAGGGAAATGCCTGCGAGAGTTGGGGAGACTTGAGCAGAGTCGTCTGGGAAAGCCATTTGCCTTCAGCCATCATCTTCAGGGGGATCATCTGGGGGTTTTTTTACACTTTGAGCACAGGCCCTCTTTGCATTCTCCGTGTTCTGGTTTTTTTAATTTTCTAGATGGACACAGCCAGAGTCTCCAACCATCCTGGGGGAGGGGATGTTCTTTAGGATAGTAGATATCTTTGTATTAATGGGGTTTTCAAATTCTCTGTGTGGTAACACTCTCTAACACTCTCTAACACTGTATCCCTTATTGGTGGGAATGTGTCATTTAGATCCTGACTGGGGAGGACTGGAATTCGGTGATGTATGATGGGATCATGGCTTATGGCGGCCCCTCTTTTCCAGGAATGTTGGTCTGTATTTACTTCATCATCCTCTTCATCTGTGGAAACTGTATCCTTTGATGCTACTCTTTTCTCCAAGTGGGGCTAAATTTACAGCCACCCTCTACTACTTTGCTATGTCAGAAAATAATTAATTTCATACCTTACATTTTTATCTTTTCCCTAGGTCTGAATTTTGGCTTTGCGCTGCCAAAAGTTAAACAAGTTTGTTTAATTTTAGCTAGTGCTAAGGCATATAAACAGCTGTAAGAGCCAGCTACATGCCAGTTCCACATGCTAGCTTTTATTTAGTATCTTTACATGTTTAGTGTTTTTATTTTTCATTCCTCTTAATTGCCTCATAGGTTTTTCTTTCCCACCTTCTCCAGAAACTAATCTCTGTATCTACTGTACTTACTGCATATTTTTGCTTTAATTGCCTTTTCAGTAATATATTCCATGTGCTTTCATCCAAGCCTTATGTGGAATAAAAATATGTATAATCTACAATATGCTATATACAAATGCTGTAATAGGAGTAACATATGTTTGACATAATTGATTTATGTGAGATCATATATTAATTCATGTATAAACTAACAGGAACCGTGTTCCATTTCAGTTACTGCAATCTGTGTGTTCTTCAAACAGAAAATCGTGTGCTCTGTTATCTACCAGCCTGTGCTGGTGTTAAGTAACTTCAGTTCTCTCTGGCTTCAAGGTGAAGGGAGGGCACTGCATATATCCCAGGAGGTACAAAGCACATTTCATGATTAGGCTGTGAATGTCTTTTCACAGGAATTTGCATATAACATAGAGCTACGCTTCTGTTCCATATCTCAGTTTGCTCCAAATTTGTTCATGTTTAGTTTCTGCTTCCCTAATAAATGGCCCTCCTGTGTCAGAGGTGACATTTCTTTTTATACTGATTCTTCTATAAAGCCACCTTGTAGTCTCAGTCCAGCTCTTCTGGCCTTTCCTCATAATTCAGCTCTCTCAAACCCTGTTATTTGACATTTCAGTTGACCTGCATGCCCACTCTTCAAAGTGAGATGGTGTTATTCCACTTATCTGAAGGTCAAGGTAGGCAGTCTGCCTGACAGCTTAAAAAAGCTACAATTTGGATCCCCTTGTGAACTGCAGAGGAAAATGTGAGCCAGCTCTACATGCTGGCTGACTTTGGAGCCATTAGACCTTGGAGCCTAGGGAGGGGGGTGGCTGCATTTCCAGACTAAGCCTTGAACTGGGGTTTACTTAAAAGTTATCATCGTGTAATAAGACCCACTCTCAAGAAAGTTATAAAAGAAGGTGATGTTCAAATTTGTAACATGAGATCTGGACACTGACTGGCAAGACAAGAAAACAGTTGTGATTCCTTGCCCTTCAGCTACATGGGCATGACTGGCCATGCATGGACTCTCTGCTAGGAGATGGCAGAGTTGTCAGCTCAACCCTTCAATGCCCAGACTAAACTCATTTCTTTTTGATTGCCTCAGAAATGCTAATGAGAGTGCTATGCTTGCTGTCCATAAAATCCACTCATGTCTGTGGGAATACCTATAATGAGGTTGTTCAACTCAAATACATAGGGCAAAACTGGAAAGCCCAGGTGCCTTATGGTATGAGGCTCTTGAATATAAAAGTGCTTTAATAAAAGCAACCTAAGCTGTCAAAGATGCAAAGCATTCAGCACTCCCCTTATCTTCAGTGGGATTTGTTGCACAAAGCAAGGCTCTTTTGGGAAATCGGAAACTAAAATATAAGTCTGGACTTAGATGTTTTATATCAGTCATTCTCTTGCGAAATTTTGGAAACCCCCCACAGTGCGTTAGCCATTTGGATGGAAGGTGTAGGTTTGTGCATGCTGGATATGCACATCCTGAACATTTGTGTGAAATGGAAGTTTGGAAAACCCAAGAGATCTGATGACAGGTTGCTAAAAACTTTCAATTAAGAAACCTTTGGTATAATGTTGTTCTGCAGTTTTCAAAGCCCATTTTCTTTAAGTAGCACACAATCAGATATCCTTTGAATGTATTTTTGGCCATTGCTGTGGACAACCTTGCTGATGCTGAGAGTTTAACATCTGCACAGAAAGAGGAGGAAGAGGAAAAAGAAAGGAAAAAGCTAGCTAGGTAAGTACATTTGCATACACCTATCTACACTGAGATGCATGCATTCCTGTGAGTATAATTACACACATTATGTGCAAGTAAGTATGTGTGTATATGTAATATATATGTATAACTTCTCTGTGGGTGTGTATAGATTATATATATGTGATTAATGTAATTATATATGGAATTATGTATATAAAAATTTTTATGTAAAAGAATTCAAACTAAAAGACAAGAAGGTGTCATGAATCGGGAGTCCCCACAGTTGCAATGATGTGAGCAGAGGAAAGGAAGTCTGGGTGACTGATGAGCTTTCAGGGCATCAGCACAGAATGAGTGTGAAATGGTGTCAATGTTACAATCCCACTTGAATCTCCCTATTACCTTCTGATTTCTTTGGACCACAAGGCATATTTTCAGACTGTTGTTCCCACGACAAGATTCAGCAGCTTTCTTCTCTTTTGATGCCACATGCTGTTCTTCTCTTGGCAGTTCTTTCAGTGTTTCTGCAGACTCTTAGGAGGCATGAGCTGGATGTAGAGCTTCTCTGTCATTCCCAGCTGCCAACAGTGGGGAAGCCTCTCCTTACTCGTTATTTCTATTCACTGTCTTCCAGGGTGCTTGGAAGGGATCTCTTGTGCAGATCTTTCTGCTTCATCCTGCATACTAGTCAGCAGGTTTCCCTGGCTCTGGGAGTGCAGTGAGGGGCAAAACTTTGTAGGCAACCTAGTGGAAGTCCACAAGATATGGGTTGAAAATGGTTCATGCCTTTGTCATTGGGTGAACAAAGAGACCTCTACTGACAGACCTAGAATACGCATATGCACAAACACACAGGCACACACTTCCCCCACATGCGCGTGCACACCCACCCACCCACAAACACATGCCATTGAGAGAGCTTTAAAATAAAAGGATGCTATATAGAATTAGAACAGAGTCTCTGCCTTTGCCTGCAGATAAGGACAAGGTGGAGCCACTGGTTTGTAAGCTGGACTCAGAATGGAGCTGCCAGCCAGCTGATCATTCTCATGGTGTGTGCTGTACTACATGAAGTACCTGAAAAGGAAACAGCTTTTCACCTTTGTAACTGTTTGCTTTTTATCTTGTAAAATTGTTAGGACTGCTAGTCCCGAAAAGAAACAGGAGATAGAAAAAACAGCTGTGGAGGAGGAGACAAAGGAGGAGAAAATTGAGCTGAAATCGATCACTGCTGATGGAGAATCCCCGCCTGCTACCAAGGTAAGGTCTGCTGCCAGCCAGCACTCTCTGTGCAATGATGGCATGAACAGCTTCGGTTTCTGAGGGAATGAAAACCCTCTGCCTTGTCTGATAAAGGCTTTGCTGCTTCTCCTTCCATTTCTGTCAGATCAATGTGGATGATTATCAGCCCAATGAAAACGAAGAAAAGACCCCATATCCCACAACAGAAGCGCCAGGTACATATCTTCTTCCTCTTACCCCTGATTCAACAAAGAGAAGCTCCAGTTGCTAATGCACATAAAGCCAAACTGTGGTAGCAGGTATGCTGAACATGTAATGCTTTCATGATGGGACAGGATGATATGCTTGCCTGTGTTTGCACAGGTATGGCCTTGATCCTTTGCGGTCCCTATACTGATTAGTCATATTTGATTGGTTCTCTGTAAAGCTCTGTATCTGGAAATACAGAGCTTTACAGAGAACCAAATCAAATCATACACAAATCTCTGTATATGAAAATATACATATGACTTTTTTTTCAGTCTATTTTTTCAGTACTCAGTGGTCAGGGGAGACTCACAACAGATACTCATGAAAGGCAAATTGCTGAATGCCTTTTTGCACTTTTTTCTAATCAAAAAAGACAGTGTGACTTATTAACATAATTCTAAAGGCATAAGATCTCAGCCTAGAACTGGAAAAAACAAGCTAGAGCATTAGTTAGGCTAGTTTTCAAGTCAGTTGGACCTAATTAACTTCATCCTCAGATACTTAAAAGATTGGTTGAAGAAATCTCAGAACTTTGAGCAGTTTTTCTTCAAGAGATCCTGAATGGGGTGTGGGGTTGGAACAGAAGAATTATAAGCTAGTCTACTTCCATTCTTGGAAAAGTGCTGGAACAAATGATTAAACAAACTATATGACTGCAAGATAAGGAGATGACTAGCAGCCAACATAGATTTGCCAAAAACAAATCATGTCAAACCACCCTTATTTTCTTCTAAAAGGGGCTCTCAAGACTTGTAGATAGGAGAAAAGAAGTAGATGTCATATTCTTTAGCTTTGCTAAGACTTCTGACTGTCTCTTATAAGATTCTCATAAGCTGGCTAGAAAAACATGGTCCAGATGATTGGGAGAGAAATTGGTCAGACTCTTTATGTGGAGAGCAGTGATGACCCAAGTGAAGTTCTACAACCCAAAGGCCTGTCCTGAGTTCAGTTCGGTTCATTGTTAATGACGTAAATGATGGAGGAGGAAATATTACATTTGCAGATGACATGAAGCTAGAAAGGACAAGAAGCATGCTGGAGGGCAGCATTAGAATTCAAAGAGCTCTTGAGGAACTGGATAAATGGTCTAAATAAAATTGAAAGTGCTAGGCTCTACACGTAGACAGGAATAAACAACTCACAAATAACGGATCTTAGGTGACAGCTAGTTAGGTAGCAGTCCTTGAGAAAAGTGTCTGAATCTTCTGATCACAAGCTCAACAGGTCCCAAAAACATTTTGCTGTCTTTCAAAAGGCAAGCAAGTAGTGAGATTTATAAACAGTGAAAACATGACCTTTTAGTTCAGTTATGGGTTTCTTCTAACTGGCCAGTGAAAGCTAACCAGAGCAAAGCAATTGTTTTATTCTGGTCACCATTGATAAGGTCGCAGCTGGGATATCTTATCTCACTTTGGGTGCTCTGTTTAGGAGAAGTGGGGCTGAATTGGAAGGAGTGTAGAAGAGCATGGTGAAAACAATGCTAGTAGGAAGCAAGAACTAAGGTTGAAAGAATTGTGGTCATTTGAGCTAGGAAAGGCAGGAGAAACATCTTCAAATGCATAACAGCTTGTTACATTATCTCCATTATGAAGAAGTAACAGATTTAAGGTTCACATCAGGGGAGAATTTTCTAATGGTGAGGCTAGAAAAGATTGTGAAGATGGTTGTAGAAGCCCAGCATCACTGAATGTTGTTAAGAACAGGTCAGAAAAATATCTGCCAGAAAAGGCTTAGATATAATAATTAGTTGATCCTGGCTTAGCAGAGACATGAACCAGAGGGCCTTTTGTGATCCTTTCCTGCTCTGCTCTTCTGCGTTTCTATGACTATGTAACAGGCTGTATGTAATAGGTAATAAAACACATTGCCTTCTATTCTATGATTCCTAATAAATGTCTGATAATAGGTTGATGTGATAGGGTAAAAAAAGACACAATAGTTCATTTTAAATAGATGGACAAGGGTTTCAGACAAGCAAAAAGGAAAACTGTTCATTGCATTTGATTTTCAGTACAAAAAATCCCCTCATTTGCTATACTTGTATTCATCCATATTTATAGCCCATTTATCGGGAATAGAGTATGGTTCCAACACCATGCAATACTGTTTTAATATTGCCTGGGGCAGATCACTCTGGCTTTAATCTTCCCAGCACCTCTATAGGCACAGGCACTTACTGGACAGACATCCCCAGTTGCTAAGAGGTTTGTGGGAGTCTTTAGTCAGAAGCACAAATTAAAACAGCTTGATACAGTTCTGTTTCTGTTTCTCATCTGGCTTGGATTTGCAGACCATTACATTTTTTTCAAGTGAAGGTACAGTCACCTGTATATCAAATTTAAGCCTTCTAATAATAGAATAGTGTTTTAGTTACCTTCTGTGGATAGCTTAGATATAGTCCAGCACATGAATTATATGACAAAAACTACATCTACCGTTTGTGTCACGGACATTTTATCTGCGGCCGTGCATAGGATTAGAGCGCAGAAAATTAAGTAAAGACACTTTTAACTCCTGCCTTGGGGTGCCAATCCCTGGCTTGGCATACTTTTGAACACAACCTAAAGTTTGAATGGATGGTCGGGTTTTCTCCAGTTTCCTATTAGAAATGCAAGGGGACAGCATCTTGGTTATTTGCCATTTGGTTATGACACCATTTCTAAACAGGCCTATTCCCTGAATTGTTTATCAATTCTTTGTGAAGAGTGAAGTTGATCTCTAACAGCTCACAAAATTACCTGACCACTTCTTTCAGAGTTTATGGAAGTCAACCATAGGGCTCAGAGGCAGTAAAGTTTTGTAAATCCCTTGTTAGATCAAATTTACCATAGTCATCTATTCCATTCTGCTGTATAAAGCTCAGAAACACCAAAGCCCTCTCCGAGCTGATGTGGCATGTCACATCTGCCTTGTGTAGTCAGTTTTGGGGAACAAGGCTCCAAGGCTTTCCCCCGGCATTAGCAAGCAAGAATTTCCCAATCCCCACACATACCCCTGTCCAGTTCCCTTGTGGCCATCTGACCAGTCCAGAATCCTTCTGCTGATTTCTGATGAGTCCAGCTGTGGTAGAGGAGATGCTGTGCAGCCATATATGGCCCATCTGGCAACACACTTTTTCTTGCCCACTTGCATATGAATCCATTTCAGCTGTGCTTTGGCTGAAGCTTTCCATTGCTTCTTAGATGCAGTCAGCTGGTTCTACCTATTTTCTGTTTATGATTCTGTTAATGCCTGTGATCTTTCCATGGCTGTGTACCATTCCTGCCTGTGATCTTTCAATGGCTGTGTACCATTCCATCCTCTGAAAACATCCTTCACCCTAACCCAATGTTCAGAAACAATTTGAAATGGTGACTTCATTTTTTTCCCTTTATTCTTTTAACCTACCTCGCTCAATCTCCTATTTTTTTCTGCTGCCTCAGCCTGTTTTCTCAATAACCTCTTCTGACTCTATTTGCTACAGAGTGTTGCTCTTAGCCCCCAGAATACTTTGTACTTGCAGCTCATCAGATCACCTATCCTCTTCTTTGGAAGGAGAGACTAGTTCTTCCAGAGATTTGTGTACACTAGAAGGATTATTATAATGATATGTTTATTATAGGAAGACAGGGAGTTAGTCTTGCAGTCTAGTACAGAAACAGACAAAGAATTCAGAATGTCAGATGAAGGTAAAAGCTTGGGATGATTCATGGGAGCTTGAAGCAAAGCAATGTCCTTACACAAGAGTTCTGGTCTTTGTACAGTAAAAAAAAAAATCCTTATCATCGAATTTCTCACTGATGCTGTACTGTAGCCTGTGTGTGCTTATGGCTTCACAACCAAAGGACATCACCATTCTAATGAAAAATAATTCAAGATAACAATGCCAGATTTTAATTTCCTTGAACTTTAGGAGAGTTCAAACCTAGAGCTGAACTTGGCAGCTCTGAGTCATGTTTGTTTATGATTTCATGGCAAGCTTGACCAGAAGGGTCACTTTTTAAACACAAATATACCTTAGGTATCGAAAACAATCAAAGATCAAGTGTTGGATTGCAGCCAACGTGCTGCCCAGCCCATTTGTGAATACCATGTTGACCTTTGCTTCTATGAATGCTGGCAACTGTGCAACATACTGTTCCTATATGCAGGTAGATAGCTTAGGTAGTGACCTGAGCTGAGGCTGTAATCATGTTATTCTTTGCATGTCTCCTTTCTTCTGTGCCCTATACCCTACTTTAAATGAAAAATATTTAGAACATTATTCTTTATGTATGGCTGAGGATCTGAATGTGTTTTCCAGTCTGAAGGTATGTGGTTGCCAGAATCATTAATGTATTTCTTGCTGTATGGCAGACACAAGACAAAGAGGAGAGGAACAATGTTCTTTATGGTCTTCACGGGGTTGATCCTTCTGCTAAGAGTCCATTTTCCTGAGGCATTGTTCCATACCGATTTGAAAGTGTTTTTTTAAGCATTCCTCCAAGTAAAAGAAAAAGAATGATCTAATAGTGAAGGCACAGAACAGGGACTCAGAATACTAGGTTTTTTAAGTAAGAGCTCTCAAATATCCTATGTGATCATGGGCATCGGTATTCTGGACTGTTAAAGAAGAAAAAGAATTTGCTTACCTCACTCATTGTCATCCCACTCTGAAATCTGTAGATAAAAGGTACAAGTGCAAAGTATTGTAACATTATATAAATATGAACATTAACATTAACACCAATTTTACAAGTACTATGCACAAAAGTACTTCTGGAAGAATGTTTCTTTAACTAATAAAGTCTGTAGAAAGAGTATTAAAAAGTATATTACAACATAAAATTGAGCTCTTAAAAGTAGACCGGCTTAAAAAGTACAAACTCTATGTACCAGCTCAAACATCTGTCCAAAAATCTATCAAGTGAATTTGAGCTGAACTCTTGCTACTAGAAGTGTAAAGAAAGAATCTCCTTGCATGCAATAATGGCATGCATTGAAAAGGCCACTTTTCTCCTGTCTCCGACATCTAGATTAGGATCTGTGCTGATTCATTTGTTCTTTCTGATGTATCCATTACCAGATCAAGTACAGTACCTGACCCTAAAGGAACAGGCTCTTCCTGGAATTTATCTCACTTTATGGACTCAAGATAAACCTTTTAACTAGAGTTTCCTGCTTTGCATTGGCTGGAAGATGAATCAGTTGCATCTAACCTGTCAGGCTCCTTTCTTAAAATATTTTTTCTGTCCTGCTGATTAAGTGAGAGGATTGGGATCTTTAAAATAGCAAAATCCTATCATGTTATTTACAAAACAGCATCTGACTTCAGCAGGTAGAAGAAATTCTCAAGGGCGGAAGGTTCTTTTTCACATACCACTTAGCCGGCATCTCTGTGTTTTTTTCCTTGAGGGTGCTCACTGATCTGCACAGTGCCTGGAGATTGGCTCCATAGGCATCAGGTTCGAGAGTCTCAGCCTTGTTCCTGCCCTTTCAATCTTCCCCCCGCTGAATTATGAAAGAGGACAATTTTAAGAATTTCTGACCGGTGTAAGTCAAAGCGCCATGCTCCATGTTTGCTCTGGGGCATACATTCGCTTAGCCAGACACAATCCCAGATGCGGCAGTGGCTCCACTGTAAGGCAGTGGACAGCCTTACAAAGAGCAGAAAAACAGATCTTGATGAACCGGAGGAATGGTCTGAAGAAAATAAGAGGCAGTTCAGTAAGAATGAGGTCGAAGTGCCACTCTTGAGAATAGTCAGCAGCACAAATGCAAAGGGCAGAGTGACTGGCTAGGCAGCCATTCTGTAATAAATAATCTGTGCTTTGTGCAAATCAGAAACTGATGGGAAATTAATGCCAGAGTGTAATGAAAAGAAGTGCCTATGAAGGACATTTAAACAGGAAGATAGTATTATCAGATATAAGAAGTAATCCAGCTTTCCACTGTACCAGTAGAACCTCAACTGCAGGTTAATCCTGCAGATAATCTAGAGGAAGGTAGCAAGAATGATCAGAGACCTAGGGAACACAGCAACTCAGGAAAGACTGTTGTTCTTTTGCTCTAGAAACCAGAAATCCTCGCAGAGGCATAATAATGGTCCTCAAGTATGTAAAAGCCTTCTGAAAGAGGAAGGGAATTCTCTATTTTCTGTGTCCATAGAAAATAAGAGAATAGATAATGGATTTAGACCACAGCAAGAAAGATTCAAGTCAGTCTTTAGAAGAAGCTTTTTTTGCAGAAGGGACAGTGAAGCATCTGAGAAGACTGTTGGGAGGATATTGTGGGTTTACCACCATCAGTGGTTTTACAGAGAGTCTAGATCAATGTCTGCCAGGGTGAGCACTGGGCTGCGGATGCTGCCTTGGAGAAAGGAAGTGGACAAGGAACCTCAAGCTTTCATCATCCTATTTCAATGATCCTTAGGTTTTAGCTCTAGTTACGGATGAGACAAATGCCCTAGAACTCCAGAACGGGTTGTATTTTGCATTAAAAGACAAAAATGCTTCTTGCAGCAGAGGAAGATGAGGAAGAACCCGAGATGCCTGTCGGCCCTCGGCCTCGCCCGATGTCTGAGCTGCACCTCAAGGAAAAGGCTGTGCCTATGCCTGATGCCAGTGCTTTTTTCATCTTCAGTCCTAATAACAGGTATTTAAGAGACTGCTTAGCTGGAACAAGGAGGCGGAGAGCAGGTACCCCTTCCACTCTGGGCCCCAAAGGTTATGTGGTGCAGAACTCCCCTTCCAGTAGTACATATCAGAGACCTCCTTTGACCAGTCTCTTCTTTAAAGGCCCTGGCATGAAATCCTCATGAAAGCACAACTGTAGGGAGCCCCCTGACAATATTCAATGGGAGCTTACGGCACCTGCAAGGCTGATTGAAGACACAAATCATGAAAGCTTCGGAAATAAGGGACTTGGAGGCAAGTCAGTAATTGGAATTCCCCAACATATTCAGGTCCAAATTGCAAGCAAGCCATCATGCAATCAGTCAAGCATGAGGTAGGAACTTCCTGTCCTAATGGCTGCTCAAAATCCACTCCCAGTAGGGAGTTGATGTGTCTCTGCTCATTCCTACGCAACAAGACGAGCATACAAGAAAAGGGAGGAGGAGGGTGAAAGTCCATAGCTCTGAGGGGAGGCTGAGAAGAATAATTCTTCTCTCATACTCTTCCCTTTGGCTCCTGCAATATGGCTTCACATTGCCGCACCTGTCTTTCCAACACAGATGTGTGAGACCAGTACTGTGAATGGAGGGCTGAGCTATGGCACAGGGGAATATTTTTTCCAAAGGTGCAGAAATGAGCTCACTGCCCAGTGGTCTGTGCAGTACCATGTATCCCAACATCTCCCTTGGGGACTTGGCCTCCAAACACAGCCCCAAAGTAAGGCAGGGCTATAAAAGCACATCTGAATTCAGAGCCAGTCTTTCCACAGCAGGGCTTGTGCTACTCCTCCTTGGGTATGTGCAACAGGGAGGGACTGATGATGATTGGGACTCATGGGCTCTAATGCCAGCTTTGCCACCCACCCACTGTTGCTTGTTGAAGAAGTAAATTAACCTCTGCAATCATCTGTAAAATTGCTATAATAGTGGCTTGGAGGCTTAACAGCCAAAAGTAGAGCTAAATAGATTAATGAAGTGCCTCTAGAATTACGCATAGGACTGTTATGAGGTTTAACTCCTTGTATCCTGACACCAACGTATGGAAGGTGCCGTAATGGTCTCCCGTAAGCATGCTGCTGTTTGATGGGAGACTGCTCTTTCTTTACTTGCTAGTTTCCCACTAAGAGTACCAAGCACTTTATATTAGGGCAATGTTCAGCAGACACCCTGCATGGCATGATGTCTTTCCAGAAGCCCTTTGCAAATGCTAGCCTATACCCATTTGGCCAGAACTGTGTCCTGTTAGCAAGGTAGATCCCCCATAGCTCCTGCTCAGTGACACTCCAGCCCCAGCTCAGAAAGGCATTGGCCACCCCGAAGCCCATTTCTGCTGCTTTTCCCTCTAAATGAATGGGGAACGGTTCTGTGAATGAAAGCAAGGGATATAATTTTGGGTTGGCAGTTTTCAGACCACATCTAGATCACAAAAGGCTCTGTCAGGAGGGAGTGACTGTCCTCCGTTCAAATGCACCAAGCTTGAGTCCTACAGGCAACCGATAACTCATGTGCATCACTGCATGACGTGGAGAGCCAAGGCTGCCCAGCACCCAGCAGGGCCAAGCACAGCTGCCTGGGCCCATCGTTCTCCCTGCTGCTGGGGCAACGGGAAACTGCTCTGCAGAACAATCCTCCAGAGCCAGTCCTGCTGGCATAAGAGGAGGGGGGAATGTTTCCCAGGTCTTGCTGTTCTCTGAGAGATAAAGTTGTGCCTCTCCTCTCTCTTGCAGGTTTCGTGTCCACTGCCATCGAATCGTTAACGATAACATTTTCACCAACCTGATCCTATTTTTCATCTTGCTCAGCAGCATCTCCCTGGCAGCTGAGGACCCCGTCCGACACCTCTCCTTTAGGAACCAAGTATGCTTCCCATCCTCCTTCCCTCGCTGTGTATTAAAAGCGTGGTACAAGCAGGTCATGAGTTGAAGCCAGGAAAGGCAGAAAGACTGCATCAGAGGCTTTGGGAGTGACTCTCTTCCCTGATTTGTGCCTCTTGTAGTCTGTGTGTGAGATCATTGGGTTTTGCAGGGAACATGAGTCAGTGCAGAATTTGGGCTTTAGTTCATTTCAGAAGCATGTATAGGGGAAGGAAGGGCAGGAGGCTGAAGAAAAATTATTGTTCCCTGGGATTAAGGCATTAGAAATGGTCTGTAGAAACATGGATTGGGATACGATAATTCTAATTTGGGGGATTTGCAGGTTCCCTTTGGAATATTTGTTCTCCTGCCACATGCTTTCTTTTGAACCAAAAAGCCCAGAGCCTGATTTTCACTTTGTTCACACTGGTGTAAATCAGGAGTAACATTCTTGAGTTTGATGCAGTCACTCTGGGGGAAATTGGTGTCATCAAGGTTAGAATCAGACTATTTGAACGCGAGGTGCAAAGCTATCATTAAATTTGAGATAATCCTCAGAAAACATGCTGTGCTCCTCTCCTCACCAGCCTGGGGGAAGGAGAGGAAGGCATTCAGCACAGACATACATTCTCACCTTCTTTCCTGACCATTCTTATTAGCCTTTTGAAATGTTCAGTGCTCCCTTAACTTTGCCAGTGGTTGTTTCCATTAATCTGGGGTCATTGCAGAAATCAGAAGAGTCAGCAGTCATATGTGAGACTTCTGATCTCTGCTGTCTGCAGTGGCATTTTGGTGCCTTTATGCTGGAAGAGCTTGCTAGGCTTAAAGAGTGGAACAATTCTTTCTGTTGTTTAATAATAAAACCTTAATTTAACACTCAGTGTTCTACCTCCCTGAAATATCCTGGCCTGAGCATTCATTTAAACACATATGTGCATGCAGAGAAGGTGTTAATGGAGGTTTATTCCTGAGCTTATCTCAGAGCTGCTTTGCATTTTGTCCTGAAGGAGGATACTAAATAATACAGTCAAACCTGTGCCACAAGTGACCCACTTGTGTTCACCATGTAGGGATAAATGTATGTCAATATGTATTAACGCTGCGGCATGATGTCAGCTGGCATACGGGCTTCTTACATGCCGCAGAAGCTGCCACAGAATCTGTAGCAGAGAGATTTAAATGACAAAAAAAGTAGTCAAAGCTGGTTGTCCTGGATAAAAGAGCTGAAGGTTTGGGGCAAAGTGTTGTCGTGTGTATTTGAAGCTACTTATGTTGCATGGAAATCTGTGTTTAATTTTTGCAAGTACAGATGTTTAAAATGTATCATATGAGGGGACACTGACAAGATGTTTGGGTTGCAAATGTGGTCTGCCTTTACACTTTGACAGTAGAACAGTAATATTGTGTCCTGCCCTGTGCCCACACAGAGGCCTGTGAGGCAAAGAAAGCAAGCAAAAAAGAAAGAAAGCAAACTAACGGCCTCTACCTTCATGCTGGGACAACATAATCAGGCATTAACCTGTGCACAAGGATTCATGCAGGCTAGTGCTGCTGTTGACACAAACTGTCCCAGGGCAGGAAGACAGGAACGGAGAGAACATTCTCCAGCACGGGCTAGCGAAGAGGCTTGGACACTGCTTCTGTCCCGGGGCAGGCTAGTGGCTGCATTCTTCTTGTGTCACACAGGGCTCAGGCAGCAAGTTTTTGGAAGTGCCTCCCCAGTCTGATCAAACAGCCTTTAAAGCCCAAGCAAGTCCTAAGGCTTTATGCGCTCACAATATTCTCCTGTTTGCACCTTGGCAAGGTGCTCATTCATTTTAATATATTCTAGTGTAAATTCATATTTAGATAATAATAAATATGCCTGCTGATAAATGGTACTGCCTGCACAGGTGGAACAGTGATCATTTTCATTAGGAATTATTTCATCTATAAGGGATGTCTTTACTAGCTGCAGCTTTGGGGCCAGATTCACCAGTATGCTCTAGCTGCTTTGCAGTGCTCTGGTGATGTAAAGCAGCTGCAGGTACATCTTAATCATCCACTTTAATCAAGTTTATGGCTGCTTTATGTTGGTGGAGTCATGCAAAGCAGCCTGAGAGTACCCATGAATCTGGCCCATTGATTATAAAATTATGCCGTTGATATAATAACCAAATGTCAGGACCTACAAGGCAGCAATGCAAGGGGACATTTCCAGTTATAGTGTGTGTAAATTAATATAGGATGCAATTGAGATCTGTTCATCCTTGAAATGGCCCTTTTTTAATTCTCTAAGTTGCAAAAATTGATAGAGCCCAAGACAGCCTCGAAGAAGTGAGAACAACTTGGGGTCAAAAATTGAGCAGTGACCTGAAGAATTTTAAGTTACACAGTAGCAGTAAGTGATACATCCCCCCATTTGACATTCTGTGTCTGCAAATTAGTCCAGATTTGGATCATGCTTAAATAGTGCAATCTAAAATAACCCTGTAGTTTGCAGTAGCTACCCCACTGCCCATGGCATACCAAGCTGTAAGAATCTAGTCACCTATAAATCTGAGTTAGGGTACGGGCACTGAGATAAATAAACACCTGTGGGATGGGAGAGGACAGTTTACTGTTATATGTTTATTAATGTTTTAGCAGTAAAGGTTTAAATATCACAAATGATCAGTTTTCTACAGCTTCCACATATTGGCCGTCTGGTTTAGAACTTGGTTAAGCTAAAACAGCAGTAATCCAAGGGCGCGCTACTTCTGATTTTCACCATTTGTAGTGTAGATAACACTGAAATGGTGTGGGATATTGGAATACATTGGAAACAAAGAGAGTGCAATTCTGGTCCCATTAGTCAATGAAAAAGTTCCCATTTGCTTTTGTGGGATGTCAATTGATCGGCAGTGAAAGACGTTTCTGTCATTGATGCTGTTACTTTGAAAATCACTTTACACTTCCGGACTTGCTGTTGCCTTCTGTGACACACTAGGGCCACTTTTTGTGGTCTGCTATGCATGCCACCAGTATCCCCATCACCAGGTCTAAGTTCACGGGAATGATTAGTGTTTCAGCTTGCCTGTTATCCAGGACGCCAATAGAAAGATGCAAGATTTAAATTAGATACCTTTAGCACACAACCAAATTATGGTTGCAATACAAGAGCTGGGATTCTGTTGAATTGGCAGAGTCTTTATTATTCATCCTAATCCAGGCCAAATCAGGATAGAGGAAAAAAAAGAGTTAGAGCATGAATTTGCAGTTTGCTTTTCTTCCTTTGCGAGAGGCACAGAACAAGCCTGAATAGAAGTTAATAAGAAGGAATCTCATGTTTTCCACTGAGAGACCAGGCATCCTTGTATTCTCAGTTTGGAAGTCTATTTGGGAAAATCCTTGAATTGTCTGTTCTTTACCAGATTTTTTTTAAAAAAAAAAAGCAAATCCTACAACAACAACCAAAAAGTTATTTTGCCTCTAGAGCCCTCATGGGATTGTAACTCAGAAAAGATTTCATGTAATGTGCTTCTTGTCCTCTGTGCCAGGACCTTCCCTGCATTCAACAGGACATCGTTACAAAACCATTTCCTATACCGTCCTCCTTGTTCCCTTGTTAAAAGGAATATGTATTTGATTTTGAACTGTGATTTCCCATTCAAGTGATCAGTCACTGATCTACCCTCCCTGCTCCTATTCCCTTTTGTTTTTACAGATTCTCTTTTATTTTGATATAGTTTTTACTGTCATTTTCACCATTGAAATTGCTCTGAAGGTAAAGTGCCCATCTTCTCTACCATTACTTGTTCACAAGCTTACTAGTTTTCTGCCACTATCTGTTGCTAACACACACGCCTGTTTGTTCCTGGGTCACGCTCAGTACCACTAACCCGATTGTGCTTATTTTTCAGATCCTAGGCAATGCAGACTATGTCTTCACTAGTATCTTTACATTAGAAATTATTCTTAAGGTAACCAATCTGAGCAATACACTCATTTTTTCCTTCCTTCCTTTCTTTTCTTTCTTTCTTTCTTTCTCTCTTTCTCTCTTTCTCTCTTTCTCTCTTTCTTTCTCTCTATCGGTCTCTTTTTCTTTTTTTATTAACCCCATTATTATCTCTATACAAAAGATTGTTTATCTTTTGACTTTATCGTTTTGGTAATTGCTTAAAAAGTCTTCTGTGAAATTTTGATATTCAAACTTGTAATTCAGGGCCTATATCAAAACAATGCTTTTCAGGGGAATCGCCATGAAAGGATCATCCTGTTGGGAAAAGTAAGAAGGGACCAAGAAAAAAGCCATCACCCCATAAATTTCCCTCTCTACTCTGGCCAGTCTTTCCAAAACTTGTTTGCTGTACAAAGAAGCCTGAGCACATACACCTTCTCTTACACATGCTACAACCCAAAGAGAAGGTCTCTGTTCTGCACAAGTCATGAGGCCGGGCCAGAGGGCGGCCAATGACTTCTGTAATATTACAGGGTGCACAGCCAAGTAGGGGACAGGGAGCGCAGTGCAGAAGCTCACTTTTTAGGTGTGGAGAGGTAACCAAGAGTACAAATCACTGAAACACCGAGGACTGTAGGTGGGAATGAAAATTGCTGCATCCCTGTTTGAAACCTGGCTTCCTGTTTCCCAGGAACATGCTCTGTACCAAGGGAAATGTGCAGGAGAATGGTTTAGCTCGGAAGAAAATAAAAATAGGCTGCCTTGTTCTTAACTCTAATTTTCCCAAATTGGTAGGCTAATAATTTAAATAACAGTGATTGAGCAAAGTTCTGGCTTTCTAAATGCTAGGTTCACTTGGCAGCTTGTTTTTTTTCTCAGCAAACTAGTTCTAAGTGCTGGCACACAGTACCTTAGAGTTGCTCAAATCTTGCAGCTCAAGACCCTACTAACAGTATCCATACTGAAGGCTGGCAAGCAGCATGGCCCCTGCATACTTTTGTAGAGAAACGTGCTTTTTGATATGACTCAAAATCACCAAAGCCATAATGTTCTCCAAAGAGGTGTACATAGCATACTTGTGTGCAGTGAGCGTCTGTGTTTACACAAGTCTGAACATGCACGTACCGAATGGCCGACCAAAAAGGCCTGTCAAAAAAGGAAAACATCTCAACAGCAACATTTAAAAATAAAACTATAATTCAAGGCACCTGTTTGAACTTACAATTACTAATTCTGCTCCCACTGAAGCGAATGGTAATACTCCTAATGACTTCAGTGAAAGCAGAACCTAACCCAACCCATTGGCTTATTGCTATGTTTTCATCGGGGGAGTGTACTACATAGTACCTGAGCCTTCCCAATGTCCTCCTGTTAACTTCAGTGGATTTATGTCAACAGCCCTGGATATTCTCTGGGTTCAAGTAGGAGAGGAGTGCAAGGACTACAAATGTTTAAGAAATTCTTCTGTTCTTATCCTGTCAGTTCCTGCCTCACAAGTTCTTGGTTTATCAGGGCGTGTTTCTCTGCTGCCTTGCATTGAGCACAATGTTTTGCGCAACAGCAAAGTTAGTGTAAATGGTAAGAAACAAAGGAATAAATGGCCATAGGATGTTCAAGGCTGCAGAGAAACAAGCTTCATCTGCCCTCATGTTGCTGATGACACCTGCAAACCTCACATTGCCGTGTTGGATTCTGGTGAATGTTAGCAAGGTGACCACCAGTTTTTTTTTTTAATTTGCATCCTAAAAGCTTGTTCAATGCCCTGGATGAAAGGCAGACATAGATTAATACAGTCTTTGAGAGTCTCTTCTGAGACAACAAAATCTCTCAACAGGCTTGAGAAAAGCACAGTTTGTATAGAACTTAAACTCAGCAGAGCTTCCCCTCCTGATTTCAATGGTGTCTCCTTTCTTTCAAGATTGCCATACAAAATCTAACCAGTAAAGGGTATCTTTACCACCTTTGTTATGGCAAGAACCCCTCCCCTCCCCCCTTCCCCAACTGAATGTGTCTATAAGTATAAATTCAAAGCCAAGACCGGAGTTTATACTTCCTTCCCTTCTAAGTTCTGTCTGACTGATTGATAGTTCCCTGATGTCATGGATGTTTGTGAAAAAAATAATCTAATATACCATGTGCCCTTCCAACCTCCTCTGAATAAAGTTGTCACAGGTAGGCATGGCTGGAAAACACTAGCAGGTATGTCATCCTGACCTATTAGCGGGAGCTAGAAACTCCAGTTTGAACTTCTAGTTCACACTTCTCAGCTGGGAGTCTGGCTGGAGCTCGTCATTGAGGAACAGTCTCATAGTGTCTGTTTCAAGTTACTTTAGACATCTAACTTAGATGAGATTCAGAGGACCAAATTTAGAAGCCTGTGTCCCTAACCCAAGTAATGGAGGGAAATTAGCAGTTGTGGGGATGGGGTTTCTTCAAAGCAGCTACATTAGATCGCTCGCTGAGTCTAAGATAGGTGGTACAAATAGCCCCATCACCTCACGCTCTTTAACTGTGCCAGACTTCATTTAGTGATGTTCTGTAATTGAGCTCAGTCTAAAATTCAGATTCTGAGCTAAGAAGTGTTTAGGTCTGACATTGTGGCTGAGACCCATTTCTGTTTACACTGTCACTTAATCCAATTCTGGAGCTGTGACATCCTCCCCAACACCAGCAGGTATTCAATACCCCTTCACACCCAGAAGGGGCAGAGAGTCCTTCCTCTACTGGATGATGTTCATAATGATTACCTCCACAAAGAAACCACTCTGTCTCGAGGAATCTTACCTTTGTGAGGAAAACCAAAAGGAAAATGCAACTGCTTCTAGAATAAAAATGGAGGAAGCTGAATAGGTGTAGGAAAAGGGATTGAGCTGAACAGAAGGAGCAAACTGAAGAGAGCAGGAATTCTTCCTGTTGCTTCAGTTCAGCTCTAAACAATCAAATCCCTGAGGAATTCTGGTTTTTCTTCATGGAGGGAAGATAGCTCAACTGGCCACTGCAGCTGGTCTAAGCATTGAAAAACATTACAAAAGAGCCCTTTTTTATTTTGTATTTTTAATTCAATTTAGATAAAGAGGCCTTTATATAATACAAGCATCATACTCACAAGTGTCCTTTGCCATTGAAGAAAAAGGGAAAAGCATATGATTGCAAAGAGTAGTTTTTGCAAGCAGTCATTCTGCTGCTTTTCTGATTCTAAATGTTATGTACTCTATGCACTCAAAGTGCATATTTTCCTCACTGAACCTAGTATTGGCTTTCCCTAGTTAGGTCTTTCATAGTTATCTTACTGTCTTCTTCACTCTTTTTTCTTTCAACGGGGACTCAACTTCTCCTTTGGGGTCTGGGGGTAAATTGCCTGCTATGTTAGAAATACTGCCCCTCCACAATTATATATTCTGAGCACAACCAGATGGGTTTGGTTTCTGAACAGATGCTAATGGCAAAGTGTGTTTGTGTCTTCATGTGCCTTCCTGCAGATGACCGCATACGGGGCTTTTCTCCATAAGGGCTCCTTCTGCAGAAACTATTTCAACATCTTAGACCTGCTGGTGGTCAGCGTTTCTCTCATCTCTTTTGGGATCCAGTGAGTGAGCTATTTTCAACTGGCTGTTTTTTTGGGATCATAGGGCTGGGTTGGGAAGTGATACCTCAGTCTCATTGTCTTATCTGGGTAAGATTTTTCTCATGAGCCTGGAGTTATTTTTCTCAGATGATTCAAGACCATTAAAACTCATCCTCAAGAGGGGAGGCGATAATTGGGAAGTGCTACACTAGTGACCTGGAGGGGGGATCTTCCAGAAAGAGCAAATGAGAACAAGAAACTTGGTCCATTGGGAATCATGACACTTAGCTTTGTTCCAAGATCTCTGATTCACTGCATCAGTTCAGGACAGTTAAGTGACTTACTGATCCCTCCAAGAGCTCTCATAACATCTTTGGAAAATGGTGTGATAATGTTTTGCTCCTTCCTAAGATGTTGTGGGTCTTGGTCAATGGAAGACCATCAAGCTCTTGAAGAGCTGTGTGAAAATCTGCAGAGTACTGGTGACAGTTGATCCTGCTTCTGTCGCAACCACTTTGTGTTGGTTGGTCTGTTAATCTGCTTAATAAGTTTATAGATTTACTCAACTACGTGTAACTCTATGTGTTGGATGGGGAGTTTCCTAAGTAGTATCACATCTGATAAGAAATAAGCTCCCAATTGTTACCATTACAGGTTAGCAGCTCACATATGTTATGTACCAGAGCTAAGTCAAGCAGAAGGATTTGTCAGGTCCATTGGGCTTTCGCTCAAAGTCTTTAGAATGGCACAGTGCTCGTTTTGACCTGCTGTTTCTTTCTTACAGAACTAACTAGACTGTTAATATGTTAGCAAAAAAACTGTTCCCAAAATCAGTGGGAGGGCCTGATGTCATACAGCATGGAGCAGATTCTCAGCCAGGGTTTTAGTCTTGGAAGATGCAGAGAGCTCTGTTGTAGTAGGTAGTTGTGTTCAGTACTTAAAATTAAATACATAAGTCATCCTAATCAATTCAGTGGGAGTTTCCACATCCTTAAATTTACGTACACACTTAATTGATTTGCGGGATCAGAGGCCAAACACATTGCAGGATCAAACTCCAGGTGGACAGTATACCTTTCGTGCCGGAGTCACCTGGAGTTACCACTCTTCTATGAATATTTCAGTGGAGTGCTTCTTTGAGCCTTATCTGAAAATGTCTTGTGATGACTACATCTTGGCACAATTTCCAGTAGATATCTACAGAGTATTTGGCAGCTTGCCCTGCTTAAAAAAGTACCCTGCCCATGTTCCATTCCCTTCATTAATACAGCAGAGCTGGTGAAAGCCAGGAGAATATACACTGAGCCTGCCCAGAGCAGGAAGCAAGACCCGTGAAGATAACATCAGAGAGTAGTTTCCTTACCCCTGAAGTGCAGTATCAAAGGGTTGACTCTCTAACTACCCTAAGCAGTCTAAGGCTATGTAGGATTTCAAACAAAAAAGAGTGGGTGAAATCCATCTGCCCTTGCAGCACACCCCCTATACTGCTGTATCTTTCAAACCTTCCAATGCTTTCTTTCAGGTCCAGTGCCATCAATGTGGTGAAGATCCTGCGTGTCCTGCGAGTGCTTAGACCACTGAGGGCCATCAATAGAGCCAAAGGACTAAAGGTTAGAAGAGTGCTAATGCATTCTGCAAACTATAAATTCAAGTTATTTCAAGCTACAAGGATTTTTGCAATGGTTCAAGTAATGTTTCAGCAGAATCACAGAATGGTTGAGGTTGGAAGGGACCTCTGGAGGTTGTCTTGTCCAACAACCCTGCTCAAGCTGGGCCACCGAGAGCAGGTTGCCCAGGACCATGCCCAGATGGCTTGGACCATGCCCAGATGGCTTTTGAATATCTCCAGGAAAGGAGATACCACAACCTCTCTGGGCAACCTGTTCCAATGCTTAGTCACCCCCATAGTAACAAATTGTTTCCCAATGTTCAGAAGAACCTCCTGTGTTTCAGGTTGTGCCCGTTGCCTCTTGTCCTGTCACTGGGCACCACTAAAAAAAACCTGGCTCTGTCTTCTTTGCACCCTCCCTTCAGGTATTTATATATGTTGACAAGATTCCCTTGAGCCTTCTCTTCTCTAGACTAAACAATCCCAGCTCTCTCAGCCTTACCTCATGGGAGGGATGCTCCGGTCCCTTAATCATCTGTGTGGCCTTTCACTGGATTCCCTCCAGTACATCCTTGGCTCTCTTGAACTGAGGAGCCCAGAACTGGACACAGTACTCCAGGTGTAGCCTCACCAGTACTGAGTAGAGGGGAAGGATCACCTGCCTCAACCCACGGGAAGGACTTTGCCTAATGCAGCCCAGGATACCATTTGCCTTCTTTGCAGCGAGGGCTCATGTTCAACTTCGTGTCCATCAGGATCCCCAGGTCCTTTCCTGCCAAGCTGTTTTCCAGCTGGGTGGCCCAGCATCACCACTGAAGTTAAATGATGTAGTTTCCTAGGGTTACAGATGGGCTTACAAGCCTATTTTAAAATAGCCTTGCTGTATTAGATAAACTCCTTCCTGTGGGCTGGTGTGTGCCCGACTATGTAAGTCAGTGCTGCTGGAAGTTTCAGAGAGCTGAGCTCTGGTATTTTCCTATCCCTTTCTGCCTGCTTCTAAGAGTACAGTGAGGAACATAACAAGTTGGTCTTCTCTCCCCTTTCCTGAGACATTACTTAATGGGCAATAGTTAAATGAAATTATTTTATTTGTATTTTTTAGTCTTGGGCTTCTCCCTTAGCTAGAGCAGCTCAGAACAATCCTGCAAGTTACTTTTGTTCCTATCTTCCATTTGCAGCATGTGGTCCAGTGTGTGTTTGTCGCCATCCGAACCATCGGAAACATTGTGATTGTCACCACTTTGCTGCAGTTCATGTTTGCCTGCATTGGAGTTCAGTTGTTTAAGGTAAAACCATTGGGCCCATTCATTCATCCATTACACTGACCTGTATTCCGGGGTGGGAAGAAAAATAGCATGAAGAAGCCTGAGGAAGAGGAGATGGAGTCTTCTGTGTGAAAGATAAAACGTGGGGCACTGTCAGTGTTACCTGGGCTCCTGCTACCAGGAGTTCCCCAAAACTGGACCAGGCATATTCAGAACTCCTGCCCTTCGTCTGTAATCATAAGAAATTATCAGTAACATCAGTAAAACCACCTTCTTCCCTAAATAGCCTGTGGCATGACTTAGTGCCAGGGAGGTGAAGGGGGCTATTCTAAAGGATTGGTACTTGCAGGCTGTCTACCTCCCATCTTGTAGAGGAAGGGGCATGCCAGATAATCACGGGAGGTTATTCATTCACTTCTTTATGTCTGCTTTTATTTCTTTGCCCTTCACCACCCTTCTGACAACTAGTGTTCTGCAGCACTCAGTGGTCATACACCTCAGGACATACACTTTTATAAGTACTGTGCAAGCAGATAAAAGCCTGTCTCTGAACTGTGCAGGCAACTCTCGATCCAGTTTGCTCACATCTATCTGCCAAAGAGCATGTAAACATACTCATAGTTGGTTAAGCAAGTAGTAAATGCAGTCTCCTTGCTACATGATCTACTCTAACCCTTGCACTGTCAGGAAAGGAAGCTTCATTCCTCTCTTTTCCTTTTCAAGGGCAAGCTTTACAGCTGCACTGATAGCTCCAAGCAGACAGCAGCAGAATGCAGGTGAGTCTGATCTTTCCCAGTTAGCCCCCTTCACTGGCAACCCACTTTCAGGGCCTCGTACTGGAAGTGCAGTTCTGCCATGTTCTCTCTCTGCTCTCCATCTACAGAGGGTACTACATTACGTACAAGGATGGTGAGGTCAACCAGCCGATGATACAGCCCCGGAGCTGGGAGAACAGCAAGTTTGACTTCGACAACGTCTTGACTGCCATGATGGCCCTCTTCACTGTCTCAACCTTTGAGGGCTGGCCAGAGTGAGTGCTTCTTGGGCCAGTGCAACGCTAGCAATGTCCTCATTCATTTCAAAAGAGAAAATTCAAACGCAGAGCATAGTCTTTCCCATTCCAAGTATCTAAATAAGTCTAAAGCATTAAACGTAGCAATAGTAGCAGCAGTCATTGTAGTATCATGTACTTTGTAAATTCCTCAGGGCCTGCAGGAATTGCTGTTCCTGTACTTGGGAACAGTGCACAGCACTTAAAAAATGATTGACAGTAGTAGCAGTGATAGCAATATTTGTTACAAATATTATGTGTATAAATTGATATAAAATGCCTGTCAGGCACTTACCAGTATTGCTAGGTGTTGCAAGTTTCACAATGGAGCCAGCAGGGCAATATGAAACACAGCAGTGCTATCTCTGTAGTACGGGCAGACAGGGGATGTCTCACTAGGCTGTGCTGTCTGTGCCACAGGGTCCAAGGACTCTCACAGCTCCACTCTGTCAGAGTGACATGGGCATGCAGGGTATCAGGGGGTTGACTCTGAACTGTGTCACCAGGTGATGCCAACAGCAGTGTTAACAAATGTTAAAAGTGCTGAGATTCCCTTTTCTCACAAAACTCAGTTCCCAACAACACAGACTCTCCTGTCTTCTGTTAACTGAAGGGCATGCTTTTGTTTTAAATTTTAATTCTTCAACTGTGAAAACATTTCACCCCTGAACAGGTTCAAATGTGTAAAGTTAGCAAGAGCCATGTTTTCTCTTTTGCAAGAGTTTACACTCAGATCAGTGCAAGTCTGCGCATCTGTGAGTGAAGTAATTTTGATAAAAGTAGAAGAAAATCACAAAGTTAAACTTTGTAACATCACCTGTAAGGCCTCAAAGCAGTTGCAGATTTTCTCTGCATTGGGCTCCTGTTTGCTTTCAGGTTGCTGTATAGGTCCATTGATTCCCACATGGAGGATGTGGGACCCATCTATAATCACAGGGTTGAGATCTCCATCTTCTTTATTATCTACATCATCATCATTGCTTTCTTCATGATGAACATCTTCGTTGGTTTCGTCATCGTCACATTTCAGGAACAAGGAGAACAAGAGTACAAGAACTGTGAGCTGGACAAAAACCAGGTAATTTACAACAACTTGTTGCCATTAAAGGTAGAAAATACATTGACAATAGGCATTTAAGAGATAGATACATACAGAGGGGAACACGTGAAGATTGCCAACAAGATAAAACACTAAGCTGGCTTCACTGCCGTCTTTCAGGAATCAGGTAAAAAAAATCTTGCTGTAAGATTTGCTCAAGGGACAACATTACTTAAAAATGTGTGCTGTACCATTTGGTTCACTGAGATTAGATGAGCATGACAGCATTGTCTGGCCAAAGTAAATGCATATGGAACTCTTCTACAGGTAGAATATACACGTGTTGAGATTACAACCTAAAAGAAATTCTTCTACCAAGAATTTTCATTTCAGTAAAAAACTTGAAACACATTGTATTTTTATTATATTTGGAGGTAGCTGACCAACCCTGTATTTTGTTTTTGATTTTTAAATCTACCCTGCCTCTTTCACAGCGCCAGTGTGTAGAATATGCCCTGAAGGCCCGGCCCCTGCGGAGATACATCCCTAAAAACCAGTACCAGTACAAAGTTTGGTATGTGGTCAACTCCACCTATTTTGAATACCTGATGTTCGTTCTGATCATCTGCCTGGCCATGCAAGTAAGTAAGCAAGCAAAAAACCTTACAGGTGATGAATTATTAGACTTTGTTGGGGAAAATGTAGAAATGGCTGAGGTTGAGACCTGCTTTCACCTTCACCCTATGTATGGAGGGAGAGGGGCAGGGACATGATAAAAACCATTGTACCATGTTCAGTCCTGATGACATTTAGCTAAACTGAGGAATCTGCCTCTCATCCTTTTTCTGCTAATATCTGACACTTTCAACAATTCTGTTTTAACTCCTTAAAAATAAACAAATGAAAAAACTCAACAGTTACATCACAGACCAATTCAGTGGCCACTATAATAGCAAGTGACTTCTCAATTCTGACTTGTCTTCTATGAAATGCAGGAATAAGCCCCGAACTGCCACTCACCTGAGATCTGAATTTTAAATTTTGGGCTTTTCTGTGTTAAAAAGTAGAGAGCAAATATTCTGGCAAACAAGGCAAACAAGGAAACTGGGGATAGAGGGTAGGAAGGCCCTAGTATTTCCTTTATGCTGTGTTAAGAACCATAGAAACTGTCTAGAAAGAACCTCTAGAGGCCGTATTGTCTATCCCATCATCTAGCTGCACCTAAAGCATTTCTTGATAGTGGTTTGCCTAACTTGCTTCACTACTGATGCTACTGATTGTCTTACTACCCACTACGCTATGCATTCATTTTCCTTACTGTGTAAAGGTTTCCCAAACATCTAATGTGAATGCACCAAAGAAATATTTGCAAGAATAGCAAATGGAGGTAGTAGATTAACACGGGCAGGTAGAACAGCAGTAAAGGGGAAGGAGTCAAAACCTTTAATAAGTAGCCAGCTTATAAAAAAGAAATCTTACATTCCTTTCAGTCAGGAAATGGGCCCTCATAGACACAAACTGTTTTGTACATTTCCCCAAGTCTGTACTTTCCTGGCTTGTTCCTTCCAGTCTGTCTCTACCCAAGGCCTCCCTCACCTCCCTTTCGTTTTCAGTTAGTCCCAGACTCCACCTGCTAAGCCTATCTCCGCTTACTCCCAGTTTCCTTGGCCACTCAAGACCCGTTCTCTCCTACACTCTGCTTAAGAGCTAGTCTTCCCATCACTCTCCTCCCTGAAACTCATCCTTCCTCCTAGTCAGTCTCTGAATTCCCTTCCCTGGTCTGTGGCCCAGACAGTCCAGATCCCCACTCCTCAATCCCCACTCCTCAACCAGTCTTTCTCTTCTCCTCACTGCACGGTCTCCCAGCTGCAGTTACCCATCCAAGGACCTCCTTTCCGGTCTGTCTCTGCCCTTTCCATTTGATTGCCTGCTGAACTTTGTTCCCTTCCCTAGTTTGTCCCATACTGTGAGTCCAACTCCCCACACACTCCTACACCAGCTTCCCTTTTGACCTTAGCATCCGACCACTACATTTTCCACTGGATCAATCCCAGTCTGCCCCACTCCCAGCCTTCCCTCAAAACTAGCCTCAGCTTCCTATCACTCACTAACACTCTAAGTCTATATTCACAGTCAGTTTTCATCTTATTTTCTCTCACTGCCTCCCATCCAATATCACCAGGTTTCTTGACCCCTCTAATTATTCTTCATCTGGTCTAGCTCTTTACCGTCCCCATTGAAAAGGCTTCCTCTTCTGTCTTGCCTAAGGTACCAACAAAGGAGTGAAGCAGCATGAGCACAAGAAAGTGCTCTGCTCGCAGCTTAAGTATCTGTTGCCCTGCTGTCATGAAGCAATAGAGAGGGACTACTGTGTTCACTCTGAAGCTTTGAAGCATGCTCAGTTGCTGTGGCAATGGTGCATGCCCAGGGCAGGTAGAGCTAGAAGCTGTGGGATGTTTGTGAGCCCACAGGCAGCAGAGCATCTCTGGAGATTCTAGGAAGTCTATGTCCATCTTGAGAAAAGTATGTTTTTTCAAAGGCTTCTACTGTGACCAGATTTGGGTCAAACAACGTAAGGGACAGCAAACACAAAACCCAGTAAAATTCCAAGTTTTTAAGCAAAGTCCTGCAGGTACTAGAGTCTTTCAAGGAAAATGTTACAAGAAATTTTGAAAATGCCTGAACAATATATTTTTCCCTGGCCTGGATTTCAGCTGCAGCTGAATTGTTTTAACTGAAACTCCTTTAAATAAATTACCCTGAGCCAATGCAGAATATGAAAATCCATCCCAGCTGGTTAAGGTTTATCAAAGTTAAGCAACTACAAATGGGGTCTTATAACATGAACTGGAAGATGACCTTAGAATAAGGCAGTGCAATCAGTCTCAAGTATAATGATCTGGAAATAGGGATATGAAGAGTGAGGTGGCAACATTTGCAGAAGACACTATTTGAATTAATCAATAGCAGACAGAGAGTAACTTCGTAAGATCTTAATAAAGTTAAGTGAATGGGCAGCATGATTGCAAATTTAATTCAGAGTTGACAAATGTAAGATAATGCATATTGGAAAGATATGATTTGACCTGCTCGTATTCTTTGCAGAATCCTGAATTAAGTGTAATTACTTGGGGAATGGCTTGGTATCATTATGAACAGCTCAATGAAAGCCCTGTTCACTGTGCAGTAGCAATCAAACAAAAAAGTAATCCAAGTGTTATGGAAGGGTGAGATAACAAACACAATTGGAGACTGTCTTGTACCACTATGCAAATTTATAATGAGCCCTCAGCCAGAATGATAAGTGCGATTTTGGTAAATCCCACTCAAAAAGATTTTTTTAAAAAGATAGGAGATCCAGAGCCACATGGCAAAAATGGCTAGAGGTATAGAAATGCTTATGTGTAAAGGGAGATGGGAATTCTAAATTGAAAAATTGGAGCGTGCTGGGGTTTTCTTTAGAGAACCTCAACGGGAAGGGAGATCAGGAGGGGCCTTGTGGATTCCTAACTAGCTGATATGTCCATTCCTCACACTGCTGCCGGGATGCTATTTTTCAGCACTACGGTCAGAGCTGCATGTTCAAGGAAGCCATGAATATCCTCAACATGCTCTTCACTGGCCTCTTCACTGTTGAGATGGTCCTGAAATTAATCGCCTTTAAACCCAAGGTAGGTGCTATAGGTGTAGAGTTTCCTGGCCCCTGTGTGTGTGTGCATGTGTGCGGGGCAGCTGTGAGGAGAAGGAGGAGGTGAAACTTTCTGATCTATTACCCCACGAATAACTGAGCTGGACAGTTGCTCTCTGGATTGGAGTCTCACATATATTTAATAACTTTTTCACTGGAGAGTAGACACACTTAAAAAAAATAAAAAAGGCAACACCTGCTAATAGAGAAGGTTCCTAGTTCTCTGTTTTATTAAGTTATAATAGTGACATTATGTTAAGACTATAACATGTTTTCCATTCTGAATGTTATTCTAATGCTCTCTCTGACTTTCCTTAAATAAACTATAAATAGCATTCCATGATTAGTCTCCTGGCCCAAGTGAAGTTAATCAAGCATGACTCATTTTGAGTTATGAGCTTTGGAAAAAAATGTTTCTTCTGGGAGGGCTACATCTCAATGGTAGTTTGGATTACTTTAGTTATGAATTTAAGACTTCATTGATAATATTCAGTACCCCAGCAGGTCCTGCTTGAAAGCATTGTCCTGTCCATTGGGCCGTGGCATTCTGCTAGTATAGCTGCACCATGGGGTATGATTATAACCTACAAGTTCTTCCAACTACGTTGGCACAGCTGCTGCAGGACAAGGACAAAGATACTGACCTCACATAATTTAAGATTACACAAGGCTTTATTCTTTAGGGTTTAAATTCAGTGGTGTGTCATAAGGAGTGGAATCCAGATACCTAAACACAGGTACCTCATGCCATTTCATATCTTCAGTAATACCTTGATACATGAGGTTGTGTCTTGAAGGATACCTTGATACACTGGGGTTGGCAAATACTGTCTGAAGCATCAGTTTATGACATTGGTAAAAATGAGAACAATCATGTCTGACAGTCATGCTTGTCCTTCATGTTAAACATTTAGGGGACCATTGAAGTTAAGAGCTCCTCCCAGCTCTAACCTAACATCTTCCTCATCCTCAGCTCAGAAAATTTGCTCTCCAATTCTACTGAATTTGGTCTTACTTTTTCTTGTTAACTCTGCATTGACTTTACTCCCACCCAGTCCCTCTCTCCTTCTTCCACACTTTCTAGCACTTCTTCTTAGAGGAGTCACAATTTTTTTTTTTTCCTGAGCCCAATATCATTATCCTTTATCAGATGCCGTTCTCTTGAAAGTTAAGAGCATCTTGTGCAGTCCTGGTGAAGGACTGATTTTTTTTCTTTTTTTTTGTGAGATCTCAAACACTGTCTTTGGAAATTTAGAAGTATCATCATCTGTTTCAGAAGGGATTTTCAGGAGAGATCTACCTTTCACTTTTGAGATTTTGCCATGTCCATTAGCAAGTAAATTTTCTGGCACTTTGTAAAAATATTATCTACACATTATATACCCAGAAATGTATCTCACAGGCTTTGTAATGTTCTTCTGATTTCATGGTTCTACTTTACAGGAGATTCTTAACTTTGAGAAAGATGAGGTTCTCAGCAGAATTTGTTTTGAGCATTTAGGGGAAAAGTTCAACCAGTTCAAATATTGAGCTCTGTACATATACAAGGAAGGCTTTACCTGACATGGTTGCCTCTAACAGTAAGGAATCGGACTTGATGAAATTGGAGGTCCTTTCTACTTCCTGTGTCTTGCTTTCCTGTGTTCAATCTTCTTTTCAAATTTTGCTACACAACAAAGGATTAAACAAAATCACTGAGGGTAAACATGTATCCTCCAGATAGCAAAACATTGGAACAGGTTGCCTATAGAGATTGTGGAATCTCCGTAATTTGAGGTCTTAAGACTAAGTTAGGGAAACCTTTCATTAGAAACAGTTTAGGAATGTATGACCTGCCTTGGGACAGGGGAATAGTAGAGTATTAATAGAGTCTTCTCAATTAAGGATCAGACAACAACCTCAGGTTGAAAGAATAGTCAGTGAAAAGAACAAATCTGTTTCAAATCCTAGTCAGGCCTGTATGTCAAAAATCGTACTAACTCTTAAACTGCTATTTTAATTAAAAAAATCAGGAAAATAAACATTTTAAAAAATGGAACCGCAGGATTTACAGGGAAGAAAAACAGGAATGAACTTGTGAGAACAACGAATACAGCAAAAAGGCTTGCCTCCAGCAGTATATACACACTGGATTATGTTGAGAACCAGTTCAGTGACTCAAGCATGGAAACATCAGAATGCCTTGTGTAACTTGCCATTGTCTGCTCAGTACCATTTGGACTGATGTAGACCAACACTGGGGGGCACAATCTGCTTCTCTTTAGGTTGCACATTTGGGATTGAAGCTGAATTTGCCTAGAATATGTTCTGATGTGGGAGCCTCCCAGCATGGAGAAAGTTGTTACCTCAGCCCTCTGCTTGGCCAGACCTTGTGTCCTCCTATCATGCAATGCAAATCATACATTTGCAGGTGGAGGTTGTCCCCGGGAACACCAGCTGAAAAAGTCCAAAAGGATTTCATTGTCACCTGGGTGAACATCACTACAACTCAGTCATCATCCTCTCCCCTCTAACCAATCAAGTCACCCAGACAAAGAAATGAGATGCTAAGTGATATTAGTGTTTCCCAGATGTGAAGTGGCAAGCTTAAATGCTCATGAGATCTCTGCTGAAAACAGATTTGGCTGCCATTTCCAGAGCAATAAAACATAAACCGGCCTTTGTTTAAGCTGTTTGTCTCATTTTGAATTTGTGCCCAAACATCACTCTTTTCTGTTTGAAGAGTACCCTAAAATGAGGGAGCTGTCAGCTTTATGACTGACAACAAGTAAGCAGGAAACTTGGGTACCTGAAGGTGTTGTGTCCTCGCCTTAGCGACAAGCCCCAGGAGAATGTGGCAGAACAGAACTGAGCACAGAACTGAAACTGGTAAAATTTGCTCTGTTTTCTCCAACTTTCTGGTGCTTAACCCAGCAGTGGGTGCTGCAGCTAACCTTCAACTACAGCAAGCAGTGCAGTAACTGACTTGTAACTCTGAAGCAGCTGTCACAGAGCTCTCCCTTGCACTCGCTTCCTAAAGGCACCTTGGGATGAATGGTCTGCAGCAGCAACAGAGGATCACGGTTTTCTCCATCTGTGCAAGGTAGAAAAAGCTGCTGCTTATTCATACCTTTACCAGAGAGAATTGTTAAGGGAACTGGGACAGATCTCTGAGGTACTCAGAGCTGCTATTGCCCTAGCTTCTTGCAGAAGTCACCACAGGGATATGCCCATGCAAAACAGCGCTGGGGGAAGCCTGGAGTTCCTAATACACAGAGTTCCTGCTGCAGGCAGTGGTGTGGCAGTCACTATTACATTAAGTAATGTAATGCACTACAATGCTACCTGTGTATTACATGTGTAACAACTGAAAAGGTGGCAGTCTTTGACCGAATAGATTTTTTACTGTATCCAGTTTTTATTTCTTCACTACTATTCTGTGAGGAGACATGTCCTTCTTATTTGCTAGTCTTGATAGTAAAGGTAAAAAAAGCAAACCCAGACATTAAGTAGGATCACATATGTGCCTGACTGTAAAGAATCGACATGGATAATCCAGCCCTACAACTAGTTCCTGTGGTAAGAGCAAGGATTTACTCATTGAAAGGCCAGCTGTAGGAATAAGGAGCCAAGTCTGAGTCAGGGCTCACCTCCTAACACTTACAGAAAGCATGTGAAGGGGGTAGAAAGACAAGGGCTTTCCTAACTAAGCATGCTGTTACTGTTGAGATTGGTTGCTCCAGTTAGCAAGTCCCTTTGATACCTGTCCTTTTTATTGGCCGTCTTCTGTGAACAGAGTTTTGGTTTGTTTAGTCTCCAGGGAGGCTAAAGAGAAGAGCAGTGCATTAGCTGGAGCAGCTGCTGCTGGTATAGATAGTGCATACCAGGCAGGGACAAGGCCAACCTCTGAGAGCCCCTGTGTTTCCGTGTGGCACATTTTCTGGAGGAGAGGATCAGTTCTCCTGGGGTTTTTGCAGGATAAATCTAAGCACTAAGACAGCTCATCTATGTCTGATGCAGTCTTGACAGGAGGGTGTACTAACAATGAGCAAGAGAGATTTGGGATGATTAGAGCTGCTGATAAAGAAAACATCCACTACATGCTCTGCATCTCCTTACAGAGTATTAATGTGCTGCTCTGAAGCAAAACTCCCAAATGGACCTGAGTGTTTGTCTTGGCTGACGCTCATAAACTGATTCAAGACTAGTTACTTCAGAGAGACAGACAGTCTAAAAGTAATGCTGTTGAGCCAAGGCCTTTTGCTGCTTTGTTTTTCTAATTTTATAAATTCTCCAGCCAGTCTGGTGAGCTATTTTCCAGTTACTGCATGGAGCAAGCTGCTGCTACTTCATGCTTTTTCCAGAGAAAACTACTAAAGGGAATGAGAGGTGCTGTGCTCTCTGGGGTGCTCATATCTAGCATTGTCCTAGCTTCTTAAAGAAGAAATCCCCACAAGCACTAGTCCATGAAGGACCAGCTGCTCTGCAAAACCTGCCTAGGGTTTATCCTTTTAACTCAAAGACAACAACTTAAAATTCCTATTCATATGAAGCTGCGCCATCTGTCAACGTATGTGCTAATATGGGGATGGATATTCCTCCAGGAATTTCAGATTTTTCCAGCTTCCTGGAATGGGCTGTTTTAGTGATGAACCACATCTACTTTTTCTTTCAGGAAACATTTCATCTATCTCCTTATTAGCTAGGGCAGGACTAGTAATCCGAGAGCTATAAATTTTTTACTGCTGTCCCTGTCATCTCAAAGTAGGCAAGACGTATCTGTAGAATGACTGCCGTGCATAAAGTAAAGCACGTTCATACATTTTGTCAAATCCAGGTCTGCGTGTGGCAAGGGAATCTTGGGGATTTCCTCTGTGGAATTATGACTATCAGAGAGACTAGAGATCACAAGTCTGTTCCATTTACCAGACACTGTCAGCACCTTTCTTCCCTGGGTGTTTATGGATGTTATTTGTAAAGCAGCCTGTAACAACGCCATCTGTC